TGAACACGAGCCTGGAAGTTCTTGCATTGGTGACGTAAGACACAGAACTCATCATTGGCATCTAGAAAAAGCACGTCCCTCAAAAGGCAGTCAGTCTGCAAACTGCTAGCTGAACTCAGATTATGTTTTCTGGGGCCAAAACTAAGTCAGGTCTTGCCCTGGCCAGTTTGGCTCAGTGGATAGAGCGTCAGCTTGCAGACCAGAGAGACCCAAGTTTGATTCCCGCTAAGGGCACATACCTCGGTTGCAGTTTGTTCCCGGCCCCAGTTGGGGTCATGTGGGTGGCAGTGACCTGATATTTCTCTCTCACATCGATATTCTCTCTCTCTTCTTCCCTCTCTCTCTCCTACTCTATCTGAAGATAAATGCAAAAATGTCCTTGGGTGAGAATTAAAAAAATTAATTAAATAAATAAATAAAATGATGTGAATTATGGCACCAAAAGTATATAAAGGGGTGTGTCGTGGACAGTCAAAGGGTAGAATATTTGTACACAATTATCAAGATAAAACAGACTGTAAAGAGTATGACTTGTCTTGTAAGTCACAAGCAAACACTATGTAATAGATATAAAAAAATAAAGGAGTGAAACTACGAAACAAAATCATCAAATAACAAAGGACAAGCACAGGACAAGAAGAGAAACAAAACCCAGAAACCAGTGAAGGAGTGGCAATAGTAGTTCCTTAAGCAAATTCTATCAGAAGACAGAATGACTGAAGGAATAAAACAAACAAATAAATACCAGATACAATATATGCTGCCTACAAGAGACACTAACCCTTTATGAACATAAATTAGCTGAAAATAAAAAGATGCAAATAATTACCCATGCAAATGAAACCAAAAGCGGGCAGGAATAGCCAAAATTCTGTCAGACAGACAGCCTCAAAAACTGTCACAGAAACAAAGGTCGCCCTGGCTGGTTTGGCTCAGCAGTTAGCGGTAGGCCCTAGGATCAATGAGTCATGGGTTTGATTCCAGTTAGGGGCAACCTTGGTTTGTCTCCACCCTGGTCGGTTTGTGCGAGGAAGCAGCCAGTCGATGTAGGGCTCTCACATCAATGTTTCTCTCCCTCCCTCCCACTCTATGTGATGAAAGATGGAAAAATATCCACCGGTGAAGATTAATAATTAAATAAAGTAAATAATAATAAAAATAAATAAAATGTAAAAAAAAAGCTTCCTTCCTTCTTTAAAAGAAACAAAGGTCATTATAAAATGATAACTAAATCAATTCATCAAGAGGATAACAATTTTAACTATGATGTACTAAACAACATTAGCATATTTTCAACTAAGCAACTAAGGACATTAAGGAAATAATATCAGAATAAAAGCTGGAAAAAAAACCAATATTAGTAGGCAACTTCAACATTGCCCCTTCAGCAATAGGTAGATCATACCATCCAAAAGTAATAAGGAATAATAGAAGTTTGATTACACTTTAGAGCAAACAGAACTAATAAATACACACAGAATATTCCATCCAAATGCAGCAGAAGATGCATTCTTGTCAAGTACAAGGGAAACATTCTCTAAGTAGATCATATGTTAGGTCAAAAAACAAGTCTGAAACTTTCACAAGAAATCACATCAAGTAGCTTATCTAGTCACAGTTTCAAGAAAGCTGGAAAATTCAGAAATATGTCAAAATTAAACAATATACTCCTACTGAACAATCAGTGGGTGAAAGAAAAAACACCAAAGAGAACTCGAAAAACTATGGAGGCAAAGTGAATACAAACACAAAGCTCATGTTTGAAATGCAGGAAATAAAATTTTGTGAGGACGTTTCATAGGCATAAATGACTACATTGAGAAAAAAGATTGCATATAAACAACCTAACCTTGCACATCAAAAAACTATAAACACAACAAAAAAAGGAAACCCAAAGCTAACAAAAAACAAAGAAAATTAGAACAAATAGAAGAGAGACAAGACAAAAAAGAACATCGTAAGAGTTACTTTTTAAAAAAGAAACACATCCTGGCCAGTTTGGCTCAGTGCTTAGAGCATTGATCCGTGGACAGCAGATCCCGGCTTTGCTTTCCTCTAAGGGCACATACCTCGGCTGTGGTTTGTCCCTGGCCCTGGTTGGGTTCGTGTGGGTGGCAGCCAGTGGATGCTTCTGTCTTCTCTTCCCCTCTTTCCCTCCCACTCTATCGGAAGATAAATGTGAAAAATGTCCTGGAGTGAGGATAAAACAAAAATAAATAAATAGGAACACAAAATTGGCAAACCTTGAGCAAGACTAAAACAAAAGAAACAGGACTTAAATAAATTTTTAAAAAAGCACAAAACAATAAGACATACATCCGACAATATGAACCACAATGTATCATAAGAGATGTTGGCAGATGACATGAACCTACATAGAGAAAATTGTAAAGATTCCACCACAAGCCTCTGAAATTAATAAAGGAATTCAGGGCCCTGGCCTGGTGGCTCAGTTGCTGAGAGTGTGGCTCTGTTGTACCAAGGTCATGGGTTGGATTCTCCATCAGGGAACATGCAAGGAGCTGCCAAGAAGGCATAGATGGGTGAAACAGGAGATCAATGTTTCTCTCTCTCTCACTTCCTCTGCATAAAAGCAATAAATAAATACTTAAAGAATAAATAAATTCAGAATACTTATAGGATACAAAATCAACACACTAACATCACTTTCATTACTACACAACAACAATAAAATCTTTCAAAGAGAAATGAAAAAGGTAAAAAGGTAGGCAAATTTACAATAGCAAGAAAAACAATGAAACTGAAATAGTCAGAAATAAATGCAATCAAAAAGGTGAAACATCTGTACATTGAACACTACAAGACACTGATGAAAGACATCACAAACAAGTGGAAAGATATTCTGTGTTTTGGATTTGAAATGTTGATATTATTAAGATGCCTATACAACCCCAAAGCAATCTACAGATTAAATGCAATCCCAGTGATAACTCCAATTGTATTTTACAAAGAAATGAAAAGAGAATCTTGAAATATGTGGCCCTTCAAAAGACCTCCTTTAGCAAAAGCAATCTTGAGCATGAAAAACCTGGTGGCATCACACTTCCGGACTTCAATCCATTACAAAGCCAAAGCAACCAAACAAAGTGTTTTTGGAATAAACACAAAATCACAGACAAACAGAGAACACAGAAATAAACCAACACACGACTTCAAGCACTCTTTGACAAAAACTGCAAGACATAAAAGAGGGAAGAATAGTTTCTTCAATGAATTGTGCTGAAAAACGAATAGTCACTCATAAAACAACAAAACAAGACACCACTGACAAAAATTACCTCAAACTGTAAGAAAGAATTAAATGTCAGTGCTAAATCGCGCTGGCCAGTTTTGCTCAGGGTTAGAGCTTCGGCCTGTGGTACAGAGAGACCCAGGTTCAGTTCCTCCTAAGGGCACGTACCTCGGTTGCAGTTTGCCCCAGCCCTGGTTGGGTTGTGCAAATGGCAACCACTCCATGTGTCCTTTTCACATCAATGTTTCTCTTTTCTCTCTCTCCCTCCCACTCTATCTGAACAAAAAATGGAAAAATGTCCTCAGGTGAGGATTAAATAAATAAATGTTGGATAAACATGCAGTGCTAAATCGAAAAATTCCTTCAAGACAACCTATAGACCTATAGAAAAAGCTTTGGAAAAATGTTTTGGAAATGGTTTTCTGGATGTAATACCAACCATCAGGCAAAAGAGAAACAATAAACAGTCCCAACTAAAACAAATGAAAAAGCATCTTTTTTGTTTTGGTGCATGCCCCTAGCGGGAACTGAACCCAGGACTCTGGTCTACAGGCCAATGCTCCAACTGCTGAGCCAAATTGGACAGGGCTGAAAAAGTTTCTTTACAGAACAATAGCAATAAGCAAAATAAAAGAAAAGGTATATACAGGATGGGAGAAAATACTTGCAAATCATGCAAACATCAATTGCAAATATTGTGGATTCTGTTCAGATCAGCACAATAAAGCAAATATCACCATTTAGAAAGTAAGTCACACAGATATTTTGAGTTCCCAGTGAATAAAAAAGGTATGTTAACACTATACTGCAGGGTAATAACAACCCAAATAATAACACCTCTTTAAAAAAAAAAAAAAACTATACAGAATAATTAAAAATACTATATCGGTCCTGCCTGGTTTGCTCAGTGGTTAGAGCATCACCCCACAGACCAAAGTCTCTGGTTCAATTACTGGTCAAGGGCATGTACCTCAGTTGCTGACTTGATCCCCAGCCCTGGACTGAGTCAGGTAGAAGGTACTCAATTGATGGCTGTATCTCACATGGATGTTGATTTCTCTCTCTGTCTCTCCCTCTCTCTCTCAATCTCCCTCCCTCCATTCTTCTCCACTTGTCTCTCCCTTCAACTCTTACCTAACAAAATAAAAAAAAAATCAATTGAAAAAGAAAACCAGGCAGGCAAGGATTTAAAAAAAAAAAAAGCCCGCTGGGTGTGGCTCAGTGGTTGAGTGTCATCCATGCACCAAGAGATCGCTGGTTGGATTCCTGGTGAGGGAACATGCCCCAGGTTGTGGGCAGCCAGTCGATGTTATCTCTCATGGATATTTCTATCTCTCTCTCCCTTTCTCTTCCTCTGTCTCTAAATAATGAATAATAATAATTAAAAAAAAAAAGACAAAACAAAAACCACATAAACGTAAGCATATAGAGACAATTATCCAAAAAAATATGTACAAATGGCAAACAGGATTATAAAATATGCTTTCCTCATTAATCAAGGTATAATCCATTAGCCTTCCTGCACACATCCATTCATATGAGATCATGATGACAGGTATTGGGCCTGCAGGGAGAGAAGCCAGCAATGCACACAAACCAGCCCTACTGAGGACAGCAACCACCCAGAAAATGAGAAATCAAGCAGTGTCACAGTCCACATGTCAGGACAGAGCACACCCTGGGAAAAGGGGTATGAGAAAATGCAGAGCCAGTCCAGCCAGGTAAGGGGCAAGAGTTAGGGTCTTACCCAGTGTGGATATAAGTTAAAGTTCTCCAGCATCACATTCAGGTACAGGCGTCTCTGACTCTCATCAAGGAGGCTCCATTCCTTCCTGGAGAAGTACAGGGCAATGTCCTCAAAGGTCACACCAACCTGTCAGATTTGAGACAATGGAAATCAGAGCAGTCTCTCTGACAAACAGCAATCCTACTCCTGACACATCTTCCCCAGCTCAACCTCCTCCAGGGCTCCCCAGTTTCGTGAGAACACGGGGTCCTCATGCTAGTGTTGGCTGCTCTCGTCACAGTCCCATTAATCCCAGTTACCGCCCTCAGCAACAGCAGCTGGGTAGGGTGGATGGGGGCGGGGGAGGCGGACAACATACAAATGCCCCCTAAGCTCCGGGACATCCCTGCACAGCCCCGTCCTTCCTGTCCAGCAGGACCACTGCAGCCTCCCACATCACGCCTCCCAGACAAGCCAAACCTGGGCTCATGCTTCACCCTCACGTCCCCACACCAGGCCCCAGGACCCTCCGCTCACTCTCCCTCTGGCTGTGCCCACCACTGTGTCAGGTCTACCTCCTCCCCGTCTACAGACCCCAGGCCCCCTTCCTGCTCCATCCCACGGGGAGCCGGACCCAGCACGACCCCCGTCCTCTGAGGGACCCCACAGCCCGGAGAGCCGGGATGAGGCTGTGCCGCCCGCCCTGCCTCTGATCCCTGCTCCAATACAGATCCGCACGGCAATTTCGGACACAAGGAGCCCGTCCCCTCCGCACTGTGCCTGCCGTGTCCTCAGAAGACAACACTCCGTGCCCTCGGCCTTCCCCACGGCCCTCCACCCGGGACTCCGCTGCGGACGTGACGGGCGCCCGCACCCGGGCTGTACGGTTCAGGCCGGAGGCTGCGGACGCGCACTCACCTCAGACGGGCGCCTCGGCGGGGCCGCCGCCATCGGACCCTGCGGGCGGAGCGGGGCGGGGCTGCGGTCCAGGACGGCCCCGGGCAGGGCCCGCTTCGTGCGGGTCTGAAGCGAGTCACCCGGGCGGCGTCTTCCAGGCTCAGACCATTGGCTGTGTGGGGGGAACACCGCTCTGTCCTTCCGAAGCTCAGGACCGCCCGCTACAAACCGAGAGAAGAGGAAACCCCGGCCAGGAGCCCCACCGAAGTCCCGCCCTACTGAGGTGTCCAAACGGAAAGGCCTTTTCTGAGCCTTCATTGGCTCAGCCAGGTAGCATTCCACGCCGGGCCTTCTGGGTAATGTAGTTCCTGCAGCCCAAGGCTGGATTCTGTATTTCCTCAGCGGACTCCAGGAGTGGATTTGGGGAGTTAAAGCCCAAGAACACACAGTCAGTGGCGGTCATTTCATGGGCAATTCTGTGTCTAGGCACCTGCGTGGCTTCCTTTAGACTCCAGTTTTGCATGTATTTCTCCAGTTTCTGGTCTTCTTGACCCACAGGCATTGATTCTTCATTCAGGCCACCCGGCATCGGGTTGCTTAACGCTGTAGTTGGCAGAGGTTGCTCAAGTCTCTAACGTGATCTAGCCTGTCCCAGTTGGATCCTTTATGCAAAGCCAATGTCACAAAACATACTAATACTTAAGAGCGTCTGCTTGTGACGCAATCAGCTCTGCTGGCTCAGCAGAGTTGTTGGAGTCAATCAGGATTTGACGTGATGACTCTGGCTCTAATGATACATTCATTGCAAACAAGGAGAGCATGTTGAGGACAAAAAGACATGCCATTACTGACATTCCATCAGACAATGCAGGTTCGGTTCCAGACCATCCAAGCAAATACGTCAATAAATATAGTCACAAGAATTTTTTGGCTTCCCAGTACCTATAAATTTTATCTGTAGTCTATTAAGTGTAGGAAAATTATGCCAAAAAATAACGTACAAACCCTAATTGTAATATACTCTTTTTTGTTGTTGTTAATCCTCACTCAAGGTTACTTTTTCCATTGGTTGCTTCCTACATGCACCCCACCAGGTATGGAACTGAAACTTGGGTATGTGCCCTGTTGGGAATCAAACACCTGACCCTTAGGTGCACAAGCCAGAGGCTCTCACCACTGAACTAAACCTGTCAGGGAATCCCTGTTTTTATATTATTATTATTATTATTAATAATAATAACAATAATAATAGTAAATCAATCAAGTACTTAAAAGAAATAAAAGATAGTGAAGAGAGGAACTTTGGCCTGTATGGGTTACTGATGAGAACATCCGCAGGTGCAACTAAGGGTCACGTGTTCGATTCCTGGTCAGGGCAAATACCCGGATTTCTGTTCCATCCCTGGTGGGGCACTTGCAGGAGACAACCAACATTGATATTTCTCGCCCTCCCTCCCTTTCCCTTCCTTTGTCTAGAATCAATGAAAAATGTACACTCATGTGAAGATTGAAAAAATAGCTAAATAAAATACGTTGTTAAAAAAATTCAAATCATCACCTGAGCCTTCAACGAGTTCCAATCTTTTTGCAGGTGAAGAGCCTTGCCTTTATGATGACGAAAACCCCTGATCTATGAAGCTCAATAAAGCATATCACAAAAGGGTCTTGTGCTTGACTAGAGAATCTGGGAAATTTTACTAAACAAATGACCTCGTGACACCATCATATATATGATAAATATAACACAAGAATGCAGGACAAACTTTAAATAAAAAATAAGATGCACCCTGGCCAGTTTGGCTCGGCCTGCAGACCACTGACTCCCCAATTTCATTGAGGCCACAGGCACGTACCTCAGTTGAGGTTTTTCCTTAGCCCTGCTCAGGGTCGTGGGAGAGGTAATAAGTTGCTGTGTCCCTCTCACATTAATGTCTCTCTCTCCCCCTCTCTCATTAGGTGAAGATAAATAGAAAAATATCCTGAGATGAAGAATGAAATAAGATACATAAACATAAATGGGAATCCATGTATTCATAAGTCAGATATTGATTAAGAAAAATGAACTTTTTTTTTAATCCTCACCCGAGGACACTCCTTCATTTTTTTTTGTCCAGATAGAGTGGGAGAGAAAGAGAGAGAGAATCATCAATTTAAAAGGGACACATCAAGTGGCCGCCACCTGCACGACCCAACCAGGGACAGGGACAAACTGCAACCAAGGTACATGCCCTTAGCAGGAACCAAACCCAGATATTTCAGGACTGCAGGCCGATGCTCTAACTGCTGAGGCAAACCCACCCGGGCAGAAAAATGAACTTTTACCTGTCTGAAGTAGTTCAGTGGTTTAGTATCAAACCATGAATCAAGAGGTTGCAGGTTAGATTCCAGGTCAGGGCCCATGCCCAGGTTGTGGGACAAATACACTGTGGGAGGAATGCAGGAGGCGGCCAATCAATGTTCTCTCCCATCCATGTTTCTCTCTCTCTCTCTCTCTCTCTCTCTCTCCCCCTCTCCTTCTCAAATCAATTTAAAAATATGTATTTTTAAAGATATGAATTTTTGTAAAAGTGTGAGAATTCAAACAAAGTTACCGAGATTTCCTTAAATTCAAAAGGTGATTGTGATTATCATGAGAAAAGACAACTTGTGAGATTCAGACATTGAAAGTTTTATAGGTGAGATAATGATATGTATGGTATGATCAATGCAATTAGATTAAGACCATGAATTACATTTAGAGTAAATGAAGAACATACTCATGCTGATAGTTTACCTATGTATAGTTTGGTATTTTTTACATGACATACAGTATTATATTTAAAAATAAATTATGTGGCCCTGGCTGGTTTGGCTCAGCAGTTAGAGTGTTGGCCTGCGGTCCAGAGAGACTCGGGTTCAGTTGCCGCTAAGGGCACGTACCTAGGTTGCAGTTTGTCCCTGTCCCTGGTTGGGTCATGCAAGTGACAGCCACTCGATGTGTCCCTTTCACGCCAATGTTTCTCTCTCTCTCTCTTCCTCTCTCTCCTTCCCACTCTATCTGAACAAAAATGGAAAAATGTCCTTGGGTGAAGATAAAAAATAATTTAAAAAATATAAATTATGTGTATGCATACATGCAATAAAAATTTTATGAATGGTAATAAAAACCTTTCTCCAATTAAAAAATTTAAAGCGCTTTTTTATTCTGTTTCTCACACTGTATAGTATTCAGATGTCACCGTCAGATGTATTCCAAGTAGTTACATATGGAATCTGTAGTGTACTACTAACATGTTTTTGATTAAGGTGTGGGTTAAACTTCCTACTGAAATTTAGTGAAACCAAGATAAACATTAAAAAAAAAAAAAAAGCCAATAAAATAAAGTGTATAAAATGAAAATAGCAAGATAGTAATGTAAAGAATTTGGGGCCAACTGGTGTGGCTCGCTGGATTGAATGTTGTCCCATGAAATGACAGTACCCGGTTGGATTACCTTTACCAGGTCAGGGCACATGCCCAGTAGGGGGCATGCAGGAGGCGACAAGGTAATGTTTCTCCCACACATGGATATTTTTTTCTCTCTCTCTAAAAAATAATAATAAAGAATTGAAAGCTGATCCTGCTTTGATGGACTCATCAGCTGTAAGAGAGTCACCCCATGGACCAAAGACTCTCGGGTTTGATTCCAGACAGGGGTACATAGTTTGGTTGTTGTTCAGGCCTGGCTCTGATCCAAGTCATGTGAGAGGCTACCACTCGATATGTCTCTCTCGTGTTGATGTTTCTTTCACTCTCTCCCACTCTATCTAAGGTTAAATGGAAAAGGGTCCTCGACCGACAATTAAAACAAAAAAGAATTTGAAAGGAAAAATATGAAAAGTGTTAGAATTCAATGAGTGGAGTTTGAACTGTTCTTCCTACTTGACACCTGCTTTGTGCTTAGGAGACCTTACTGTGACCATTATTATTGTTCTCCTTATACTACATTGAATTTTTCTAATATTGTGTCCAAAAAAGTGTACGGGTATCTGCTAACTAGATCTGGATGCATGATCTCATTAATGGCCAGAGTGTGCTGGGCACTGCATTTGGGGTTTGTGTTCACACTATTTTTCAACCCAAAGGTCCCTGGTGTACACACAATACTGGAGAGAAGGATGTGGGTCCAGAATATGGTCAGGGCTTAAAGGAAGAAATGGTGAGAATCATTGTCCCATACAGCTAATAGGAATATAGAGAACAGAATGTCATAGGCAGTGGACTCCTTGCATGGAAAAGAGGTTAGCACTCACCATGAAGACCTGAATTCTGTAGGACTTCAGAATCATATTTTAATATTAGGTCCTAGAATTCATGTCAAATTGTCCCCTCTCCTCCAGGGTGAATGTCACTGCCACATGTGAACAAAATTTGAAGAGTCAAACTGAGCATCGAATTCATCAGAGTAGATAGAATCACAGGCTGACACCCAAAATATGGGAGAAAGTGCAAAGACCCAGCACAAATTACCTGTCTTCTGAGGGTCAAACTCCAAGCTGGGATCAAAGGAGAGCCAGACAAATACTGGCTCAGTCAAAGTTCCCCTGGAGGAACTGCTGCAGCTGACAGATGGTGGCGATTCAGTGAACACTGGAAAGGAAAGGGTAAGTGCTTTGTATGTTACGGAGAAAAGAGGAAAACTATGATAATCACACAGTGGAAAAGCACATTCAGATGAGCAACACTGGTGCTCACAGTGCAAGGATCCCAGTGAGGGCTTCACAACATGGGTACAGATTGTCCCTGGCTCTGGGGCCAGATTCCAGGTTGGAATCCAGCCTCTTGAATCGGGCACTTCTGTTGTGTAAACTTGGAGAACAGACTTCATTTCTTTAATCCTGGGTGTTCCCAGCAATTTATTATTTTTACTTCCAGAGTTGTGAGAATTTTAAGTGAATGCTCAAAATGCTAACCCTGGCAAACTGTCACTGAGGAATAACGTGTCCCTTTTACTGATCCGCAAAAAGCAAGGTAAGAACTTCATCGCCTGCATGTCACATTTAGCCAACTGAGACTCGGGGAACTCTATACAGTTGCCTGGACATTCCCTGGTGGGGACACCACAAGGAGCCTTCAGTACCCACAGCACCTGCCTTCTAGCAGGTGGGTCAGTAGGTTTGGAAAAACCCATTTCTTTTTAAAAAAGACCCAAAATACATGAGACCTTGGCAATACTTAGCAGAGAGGGTTGCCTAGCCCGAGAATGTCTCTGGAGGCAGATTTAGGGGCTGCTGCAGCCAAAGCAAGCAGCACGAATGCTGGCAACTGTGCCAACGGGCACCTTAACTCTTGACCTCCTGCAACAACTTGGGAATAAAAACATATATTCACTTAAAAATTTTATTAATTTTTAGAAAGAGGAGAGGGAGGGCAACATTGATGAGAGAGAACATTGATTAGCGGTCTTCTGCATGCCCCCCACTGGGGAATGGACCCACAACGTGGGCATGTGCCCTGGCTGGAATACAACTGGTGACCTCTTGGTGCATGGGTTGAGGCTCAGCCACTAAGCCACACTGGCTGGGTTATTATACCCATTTTTACAGGAGCAAAATGACTCCTACACCCTCCCTAAGGAAGGGGTCGTTTACCTGTGAGTCCTAATGAAACACACAGAATCGTGATTCAAATCCAGGCTGCCTGTCTCAAGGAATGGAAAATCTGATCACTTCTCTCCTATTTCCCCTTGCTCTGAGCTTTGGAATTCCACGCCACTGCTCATTCTGTGAGTCCAGACCCAACCCAAGAAGCCCTACGACAGCAGACCTTAAAAATGGGTCAACACTATCAAAGCAATGGCTTATGTCATCAAAAGTTCATGCTTGTGACAGGGATGGAGAATGTCAACAGTGTAAGTTAAAGATAAGTGTCCATTACACTGTGTGTGGCATAAAAAATGGAAATATATTAGAACTTATTATTCCAATGAAGAATATTTATTCCATAAAGCAAAACAACCACAGAAAAAGTGAAATTCAAATAACCTTTTTATTTCACGGTCCTTAACTCAAAGAAAATTGACAACATTGATAACTTTAAGCAGAACGTGGTCTGACATTTCATGAAAATACGTGATAGCAACTATACATTTGAACATATGTGACAACTAGTACATACACGTATGTTTCAGAAAGATTGCCAAGTGATCCAAAGCTTTACCATAACAGTTACGCCCACAAGGTCTTGATCCTGTAGGTTTTCTCTGATAAACACTGAGTCCTTTATAGGGAATGCTTTCCCTCATTCATCCCATTCACAAAGTTTTCTCCTCTGTATATTCTATAATGGGTATTGAGATCATTTTTGGTAAGAACTTTACACATTCAGTACGTGTAAAGAAAGTCTTTCCAGAGCAAAATCTCTGAAGATGTGGGAGCATGCTTTCTTCCAAAATCCTTCACCATATGCACTATTTGTTCAAATTTTCTGCAGTATGAGCTTGCCTACACCTAGAGTACTCTTTATGAAGCCCTTTCTACAGGCATTGCAAATATATGGTTTCTGTTCATATAAATTTGCTGATGTGCAATGAGCATGCTTTCCCCAATTAATACTCAGCCACTTCTCCTGCATATAGAAATTTACCTCCTATATGAATCCCCCACATGTACACTGAGATGAGAGTTCATGGTAAAGTCTTTCCCACATTAAATGTACATACATGGTTTCTCTTACGTATGAGTTTGCTGATGTAAAGTGAGATCAGTCTTCATAGCAAAGCCTTTTCCACATACATTACATACAAAGGGCTACTCACCCATGTGTTTTCGCTGATGTGTGACAAGATGATGCTTTGCTTTGAAACTTTTCCCACATTTACCACAAATAAAAGGTTTCTCTCCTGTATGAGTCCGTTGATGCAAAACCAGCTTGCTATTCACTGTGAAGCCTTTTCCACATTCACTGCATACAAAGGGTTTCTCTCCTGTGTGAGATCGCTGATGATTAATCAGATAGCTCTTCCTTGTGAAACCTTTTCCGCATTCACTACAGATATAAGGTTTCTCTCCTGTATGAGTCCGTTGATGTACAACGAGCTGTACCTTCTCTGCAAAGGCTTTTCCACATTCACTGCATACATAGGGTTTCTCTCCTGTGTGAGATCGCTGATGGGCAAGCAGACAGCTCTTCCTGATGAAACCTTTCCCACATTCACTACAGACAAAAGGTTTCTCTCCTGTATGAGTCCGTTGATGTAAAACCAGCTGTACCCTCACTGGGTAGCCTTTTCCACATTCACTGCATACATAGGGTTTCTCTCCTGTGTGTAATCGCTGATGTATAATCAGACAGCTCTTCCTCGTGAAACCTTTCCCACATTCACTGCATATATAAGGTTTCACTCCTGCATGAGTCCGTTGATGTAAAACAAGCTTGTTCTTCACTGGGAAGGCTTTTCCACATGCATTACAGATATAAGGTTTGTCTTCTATGTGAGATAGCTGATGCACAATCAGATGGCTCTTCCTGATGTAACCTTTCCCACATTCACTACAGACAAAAGGTTTCTCTCCTGTATGAATCCGCTGATGTACAACCAGCTTGGCCTTCTCTGGGAACCCTTTTCCACATTCAATGCATACAAAGGGTTTCTCTCCTGTGTGTGATCGCTGATGTACAATCAGAGTCTTCTTCACAACGAAACCTTTCCCACATTCACTACAGACATAAGGTTTCTCTCCTGTGTGAAATCGCTGATGGTCAGTAAGCGATCTCCTCCTGGTGAAGTGTTTTCCACATTCACTACATATATAAGGTTTCTCTCCTGTATGAATTCGCTGATGCTCCATCAGTGATCTCTTTAAGGTGAAGTGTTTCCCACATTCATTGCACATAAATGGTTTCTCTGAAGAATGAGTTTGCTGATGTGTCATGAGATTACCTTTCACTGTGAAGCCTTTCCCACATACATTACATACATAGGGCTTCTCACCTGTGTGTTTTCGCTGATGTGTGATCATATGATACTTTGCTTTGAAATCTTTCCCACATCTAGTACATACATAAGGTTTCTCTCCTGTATGAGTACGTTGATGTAAAATCAGCTTGCTCTTCACTGGGAAGGCTTTTCCACATTCACTGCATACATAGGGTTTCTCCCCTGTGTGAGATCGCTGATGTACATTTAGACAGCCATTACTGGTGAATCCTTTCCCACATTCACTACAGATATAAGGTTTCTCTCCTGTATGAGTCCGCTGATGTATAACCAGTTGCACCTTCACTGGGAAGCCTTTTCCACATTCACTGCACACATAGGGTTTCTCTCCCGTGTGAGAGAACTGATGTATTATTAGAGAGTCCTTCCTGGTAAAACTTTTGCTGCATTCACTACAGATATATGCCTTCTCTCCTTTTTGTTTCTGATGTGTGGTGACACGACCACTGTTTCTGTAACATTCACTGTAGACGCAAGGTTTCTCTCCTGTGTGAGTTTGGTGATAACGAATGAGCTGAGACTTGATGAACATTTCCTCACACTCAGTACTGTTATTAGGTTTCTCTGTCATGTGAGTTTTCTGATGTATATTCAATTCTAATTCCCTCAGAAAGGTCTTGTCACATTCAGTGCACTCACATTGTTTTAGTCCTGCTTGAATTCTATGATGTTCAGAGAGCCAGTATTTTGTGGAGAAAACTTTTCCACACAGAAGGCATCCATAACTATTCTCCTCACTATGGACTCTATCATGTTGAGTCAGAAGAGACATCTTGATGAAGGCCTTCCCGTACTCAGTGCATACGAGGGCTTTCTGTCCACTGTGAGTTCTCTGTTGCTGAATGACCTGTGATTTATTACTCATGTTTTTCATACCGAAAGGGAATGTATTTTCAGGGTAACGTTGTTGGTTACCATGCAGAATCGATGTCCCATGTCTATTCAACTCAACAGAGTTAGTTAAGTTACAGCTGCTGTTTTGGTTTTCAAAATTTAATTTTGATTTCAAAGGTTTTTCAAGTATCTCAAGATTATGATTTTGCTTTAGTAAGAAATGACCTTCAATCTGATTAACAATATTTGCAAATGTGTTATGTTCACAGTATTGTTCCACACTCTTCTGAATGTTTCCAATTTGCAGGTGACATTGTAGAGGATCATCATCTTGCCTGCATGCTAGGAAAGAAGAGAACAGTAATTCACCCTGTAATGTCCCCTAGTGTTAGTATGATATAAAACTGTTTTTACAAAATGCCTTCATGTGAGGTAACTGTTTAGTGACAATATGTTTTAAGGAAACAAATATAACTGGTTTCTCTCCAGAGCTGTTGACACTGAACTTGTTAAAATCTTGCAATATCCTAAGCGAGAGTATCTATTTTTATACGTATATAAAAAAAAATTGTACAAGTAAAGGTGAGTTTATGCTGGTGGCAACACAGGGTTTCTATACAGCTTCAGGAAGGATCCAGACACCAGAGAGACTAGCTAATTAAAAGTCTCACCTTTTAGCTCAACACTGACCCATGGAAAAAGAGGAAAGGCCTAGGGATTAAAGCCGTATAAAAACTCTTAAGATCTAATCCACTTCTAAGGTTTTTTAACAAAGATATTTGTCCGGTGGATGGTTTACCCGAGGTCCATGGGAACAAAACTTTCCATTCAAAAAATTTTCAGATCTCAGCCTATGTGACTACTTACCTATATTTTTTACAACATCCTTTTAAAAAACTAGTAAACATAACTATTTCTCTGAGTACTGTGAACTGTTTTAAAATTTTTTAAAATTTTTTTGTTTATTGATTTTATAGAAGGAGGATGGGAAAGGTAGAGAAACATTGATGAGAGAGAACATAGACTGGCCACCTCCAGCATGTCCCCCATTGGGGATTTAGCCCAGAACCCAGGCATGTGCCCTGACTGGGATTCAATCCGGTGACCTCTTGCTGCACGTGCCAATGGTGAACCATTGAGCCCCACTGGCCCAGCTTAACTTTAGATATTGTTAAAAGACTCATTTGATTAGGTTAGGGAATTTGGGCCCTTTCAAGTCACGTCTGGGTTCTTTCCTGGACTACTTTTGATCATTTTAATCTCCATGTTTTACAGTTACAAATTATAACCATGACTATAACAGTACACTCCCCTCCCTGATACTCACTACCTTCTACATTGTAGTCAAAGTGCCTTTCAAAAAATTAGCTAAACAAAGCTACTTTTCAACTCAAACTTGGTTACTGGTGTCTCAATTCATTTGGAATGACAGCAACATCTTCAGTGGTTCAAGAAGCAATTTATGGCCTGCATCTCAGAATGCTCAGCTGCCACCCTACTGCTCTCACTTCATGTCCTTTTCCCTCTTGCTCAATTCACTCATCCAGACAAGTTTCATGGACCTTCCTCATACAGAGTACACATTAAGCTCTTTCTACTTTCTATAGGCTCACCTTTGAACTGACTCACATCCATAATCTATGCGCTCAAAGGCTCCTTATCAAACAACCATTTTGATAAGCAGTTCGGAAAGCAGTTCCAGGACAAACACCCAGTCTTTCACTGCTTGTTTATTTTCCTTACAGCAGTTTTGACTTTAAGATACACATTTATTGCCCTGGCCAGTTTCGTTCAGCGTCAGTCTGTGGTCCAGAGACTCGGGGTCGATTTCCGCTAATGGCACGTACCTCAGTTGCAGCTTGTCCCCAGCCCCAGTTGGGGATGTGTGTGGCAGCCAGTCGATTTCTCTCTCTCACGTTGATGTTTCTCTCTCTTCCTCCCCCTCTCCCTCCCGCTCTGTCTGCAGATAAATGTAAAAATGTCCTCGGGTGAGGATTAAAAAAAAAAAAAAGATACACATTATTGGTTGTACATAACATCTACTGAGAAGGAAAATAATGCGGTAAGTAGGAACAAGGTTGATTAATTTTTTTGTACTGCTGTTACCTTCAAATATTAGCATATACTAAGGGAAGTGTAAAGGCATGAAGGGATCACCTCAATTGCAGGAGGCAATCACAGGTATGGACACATTAAGAAGTATCCAGGAAGAAGATGGAAACTATGTCAGCAAGACGGTAACATACCATGGCAATGACTAAAAGAGAAGCTGCAATTTCATTAGACAGGACACTTGGTTACCTAGGACCAAGTGTCATCAAATATGGTAAGAAAATAATTGATTTCATTTTCAATGAAAAAAAAAAAAAAAATCATCAGAAAACGCAATCAAGAAAGGAATTCCAAATTTAATTTACAACGTAATTAAAAAGAATATCATATTTAGGGATATACTTAAGGAAGAAAGGGATAAAATTTTTATTCTGAAAGTTTCAAAGTGAAGTTGGAAAAAATTAAAGATTGACAAAAAACCACCCAATGATTCTGGATTAAGATGTATAATATGGCCCTGGCTGGTTTGGCTCAGCAGTTAGAGTGTTGGTCTGTGGTCCGGAGAGACCCAGGTTCAGTTCCCGCTAAGGGCACGTACCTAGGTAGCAGTTTGTCCACAGCTCTGGTTGGGTCGTGCGGGTGGCAGTCACATCAATGTTTCTCTCTCTCTCTTCCTCTCTCTCCCTCCCACTCTATCTGAACAAAAAACAAAAAAATGTCCTTGGGTGAGGATAAAAAGAACAAAAAAAAAGGTGTATAATATAGATAAAAAGGAATAACTATACAAAGGAGATTCAATGTAATCGCTACAAAAATCCAATCATTTTAACAGAAATTCTCAAGCTGATTCTATAATTCAAATAAAACTAAAAGAATACAGAACTCAAAATCACCTTCTAAAAAAAGGTAAGACGAGTCTTTGCAATTTCAAAACTTACTAAGAAGTTTTAGGAATCAAGACCATAATGAGAATATGTACATATAAAATGTTCCAAAAGTCCAGCTGTGTGCCTCAGCAGTTGTCTGTCAACCCATGTACCAAGAGGTCGCCTGTTCTATTCCCAGCCAGAACACAATCCCAGGTTCTGGACCTGATCCCCAGTGGGGAGCATGCAGGAGGTGGCCAGCAATGTTCTCTCTCATTGATGTTTCTATCTCTTCCTCTCACTATCTCTAAAATCAATAAATAAAAAAAATAAAAATAAAAAACAAAAAAAAGTTCCAAAAAAGACTGTGTGGATGATTGTTTTTTAAATTTATTTTTTCAATAATTTATTTTTGTTATATATCTTTCTCCTTTTCCCCACACTGATTTCCCCCCACCTCTTTCCCTCCCTGCCATGTCCCCAGCTTTGTTGTCCATGTCCATTGTTCATGCATACATGCATGTGTGGATGATTGACCAACCTGATGAATATACTGAAAACCAATTAAGTAGAAATATATAGTTTTAATGAGGAAATTGTACGGTATGTAAAATAAATGTAAGTAAAAGCATAAAAAACATGATGTGAAAACAAATGTTTTAGGATAAAAAAATGCAGCCATAACATCTAAGCATAAAACAAAATTTAAATTAGGAAAACTAGGAAGAAAGTCATTAGAAGCAGACATAAGCAATGATTTAGTTTGGCCTGGATCTCATGTAATACGGTAAGATCTTTCCTGTTCTTCAAAAGAACAGTATAAACACTTTATGTTTTATTTATGTTTTTATCCACACCCAAGGCAACTTTTGCATTTATCATCACATAGAGTGGGAAAGAGAGAGAGGTGAAGAAAGAGAGTCAAAGAAATTGATGTGAGAAAGACACATCATCTGCTTGCCATCCACACAACCCCACGTGGGGCCGGGGACAAACTGCAACCAAGGTATACACCCTAGCGGGAACCAAACCTGAGTCTCTCTGGTCCACAGGCCGATGCTCTAACAGTTGGCCAAACCAGGTCAACAGTAGAAACATCTTAGAAGGAAGCTCAGCATGTCAGGAACATCCCAGCTGATGTCAGAATAGACAGAATTTTTTTAAAGGTCTCAGGTGAGAAGAGAAAGGAAATTTTCAAAAGGATGAAAAAAAAATGATTCTTGCTCTCACACAGAAAAGGAGAAGCCAGAATCACCATGCCGAGGAGTTAAATAGGTGGAAAGAATATCTACCTTAGACAATCTGGATGCAGAAGTCAATTTGAGGGTCTATTTCACAGATCAGGAAGAGGTTAATTCATGGAAATGGAGAAAACATTTAACAGTGATGAGAACTGAGTATGAAAAACCTTGGGGCACGGATGTAAATAAATTCACCGTGAAGACCAGGTTAACACGCGGACACGGTATCCAAGGTGGGATTGAATGTTACGGAGGAAAATCACGATTTTCTAAGCAGCCAGGAAAATCCAGCAGTAAAAGAAAAGGTGATGATTACCTTGGCCGGTTTGACTGAGCGGTTGGAGTGTTAGCCTGCGGTCCAGAGAGACCCGAGTTCGGTTCCCCGCTAAAAGCATGTGCCTCGGTTGCAGTGTCCCCAATCCTGGTTGGGCAGGCGGGTGGCAGCCACTCGATGTGTCCCTTTTACGTCGATGTTTCTCTCTCTCTCTCTCCCTCCCACTCTATCTGAACAAAAAATAGAAAGTTGTCCTCGAGTGAGGATAAAAAAAAAAAAAAGAAAGAAAACGTGATGAATTCAAACTTGTCTCTCTCCAGAGAACACAGGAAAGTGTAATTTAAGAAAGAGAGGTGGGCTCTGGCCGGTTTGGCTGAGCAGTTAGAGCGTTGGCATGCGATCCAGAGAGACCCAGGTTCCGTTCCCGATAAGGGCGTGTACCTCAGTTGCAGTTTGTCTCCAGCCCTGGTTGGTCGTGCGGGTGGCAGCTACTCAATGTTTCTCTCTCTCTATGTTCCCCTCTCTCCCTCCCACTCTATCTGAACAAAAATAAAAAAATGTCATAGGGAGAGGATAAAAAAAAAAAGAAGAAAAAGAAAGAGAGATGGTGCCCTGGCTGATTTGGCTGAGTGGTTGAAGCATTGGCCTGTGTACTGGAGAGTCCCGGGTTCGGGACACGTACCTCAGTTGAAATTTGTCCTTGACCCAGGTTGGGGTCGTGTGGGTAGCAACCACTTTATGTGTCTCTCTCCCATCGATGTTTCTCTCTCTTCCCCCCTCTCTCCCTCCCACTCTATCTGAAGATGAATGCAAAAATGTCCTTGGGTGGATAAAAAAGAAAAAAAAAGAAAGAGAAATGGTAATAAAGGCAGAAATATTGTGGACAAAGGTGGGAATGATCTGAGAACACTAAAAAAAGAAAACAATATAAATAAAACACAAGATGAAGATAAAATAAGCCAGATCAGAGCTCAGAAGAAAAAAAAAGTACGTTTTCCTCTACACGTCTACAAAGAAACAGAGTTCTCATCCGGGGAGGGTGGGTTCAGTTTCCTCCTTCACTCCCATCACTCTGATGCCTCCTCTGACTAGAATGTGCCTTCCTGACCTCCCACCTTGTTGAGTCTCCTTCACTCACCTGCACAGACTAGAAGGTGGAGTTCATCCTGTGCTTTCCATGGTTCTTCCCCTCGTTCCAATTTGGAGAGTGCATCTGGTTTGCTGGCTTGATACCCTGCTCGAGAAAAATGACAGAAGACTTAGACATGGGGCTGGAGTCTGTCAAGGAGGGAGAATGAACAGGTTTCACATGTCTAACACAAGGACTTTTCCCTCTTGAGTGGGGTCACTATATCCTCCTGCCTGGGGCAAGAGAACAATCTGAGATTCGACACCTAGAGTGGAAGGCAGTTATTCTGTAGCGTTAAACACATGAGAACAGAGAATCCACTAAATGGGTAAGGCTGGGTAACAAAGAGAGCAGTCCTCACCCACTGACTCCAGATGGCCGAAGTTTTCCAACATCACATCCCTGTACAGGTTCTTTTGATCGAGGTCCAGGAGCTGCCACTCCTCCCAGGTGAAGTCCACGGCCACATCGTGAAATGTCAGGGATTCCTGTAACAACACAATAATGTTTATTGTGAGATGTCCTTCAGATGACATGGAAGAAATGTTCCGTTTTTCTGCTCATTTTCACTTTATACACTGCATCTCTACACAGAGTGGGGTTCTATTTTAATATATAGTTGAACAGGAACATGTCTAGTAAAATGCTATTTGTAATTGTTCATGTAGACATTCATGCATTAATGCAATTAGATGTCACTATAAAGTGAATAAATTAAATGTTCATGATAACCTAGAAACATCTTTAATACAACCAATTTCAGACATTTGAAAGAAAAATATATATGAATACCTTCCAAACTAAAAAAGGTGCTATTTTATACCATCTACAAATGTACTAATAAGAAAGGAGAAAACTGAGCCCTGGCCGATTATCGCAGCGGTTAGAGCATCGGCCCACTGACCAAGGAGTTGCGGGTTCGATGGTGGCCCAGGACACGTACCTCGCTTGCAGTTCATCCCTGACCCTGGTCGTGTAGTGCAACAGGCAACCAGTCTGTGTGACTCTTTCACATCAATGTTTCTCTACCCCCTCCCTCCCACTCTGAGGATAAACAAAAAAATGTCCTCCAATGACAATTAAGAAAAAATAAAATTAGCCCTGGCCAGTTTGGCTCAGCGGTTAGAGCATCGGCCTGCGGTCCAGAGAGACCCGGGTTCGGTTCCCACTAAGGGCACGTACCTCGGTTGCAGTTTGTCCCCGGCCCTGGTTGGTCGTGTGGGTGGCAACCACTCGATGTGTCCCTTTCACGTCGATGTTTCTCTCTCTCCTTCTCTTCCTCTCTCTCTCCCTCCCACTCTATCTGAACAAAAAATAGAAAAATGTCCTCGGGTGAGGATAAAATAAAAATAAAATAAAATAAAATAAAATTAGAAAAGAAAAAACAATCTGAGCACTGAACCATGTTGTACAGTGGTTAGAGCGTATGCACACGGGTTGCAGTTAAGATCAGAGCCCTTGCGCCCTGGCCGGTTTGGCTCAGCGGTTAGAGCGACGGCCTGCGGTCCAGAGAGACCCGGGTTTGGTTCCCGCTAAGGGCACGTACTTCGGTTGCAGTTTGTCCCCGGCCCTGGTTGGTCGTGCGGTGGCAGCCACTCGATGTGTCCCTTTCGCATCGATGTTTCTCTCTCTCTATCTCTTCCTCTCTCTCCCTCCCACTCTATCTGTACAAAAAATGGAAAAATGTCCTCAGGGGAAGATCAGAGCCCTTGGTGGGGTGTTTGTGGGAGGTAAGTAATGGATGTATGTCTCTCCCATCTCTCCACTCCCTATGCCTCTCTCCTTCAATTCCACACTATCTAAAATTCAATGCAAAAGATATCCCCTAGTAGGATTAAAAACCAAAGAAAGTCACCTGAGCCTGCGGCATTTTCTTCTGCTCTCTGACAGGAGCTGGCAGCGGGAAAGCTTTAGCTTGCTGAGTCTCTGGTCAGCTCTAGGATTCTGTTTAGAAATCTGTCTTCAGTTAGTAAGTCCCTGGAAATGCTGATAATTCTCCCAAAAGTTTTCCTTGCTTCACACGATGCAATTGCTTGTGGTGTCCATGTAAGAAATGTCCAAACCTGTGGAGAATTTTTATGTTTATTTGAGCCAAGCTGATGACAACTGCCAGGAAGCAAAATGACAATGGATTACATAATACTCTAGAAAATGGCAGTTTTGCAGCTTTTTTATACATTAGAATCAAAGGAAAGGACAGAGGGGATTACATGAAATTCACTGGTGATAGATTAGAGGTGGGGGGTGAGGGAAAGCAACACATGGAAATCTCTGAGACTGGATAAAAAGGAAAAAAAACATGACAACTACTTCTTTTAATTGGGCAGTTGCAGTACATTTAACAGAGTTTAACACAATAACAATTACAGGCTCTGTAGTCTCCTACTGTGGTGCAAAGTTGAGCTTGAGTGGGTGGGTGGGTACAAAGAAAAATTCCCTGATAGTCCAAAATTATGCTGTCCTAGATGCAAGATGACAACAGACAGGCTCAAGAAGGTAAAGACTGACTTTTCTTAGGATAGATACCAGGGGGGGCATGACTACCCTTGTGACTGGATTTAGTTAGGCAGTTTTCACTTCAGATCACCCTACATGGATAATTTTGGCTTCTGAGTGTGTAAGACCGCCGGTGCCAAGAAGGCGCCCCTGAGCTTTGCAGGTTTATAGAGCAAAATGGCTTTATTGCATACACCTGGGTACAGGAGAGATGAGAAGGGTTCAGCCTTGAATAGCAGTTGGGGTGTCGGTTACATACTCTACTTTTAGCTTTCAGCAGTCCTGCTGATATACTCTTTCTGGTCCATTGTCCACTCTGCAGTAGGACTGGTCTGGTATCTCGTCTGGTACCTGCTGGGTTATCCATTACCTTGCTGATAATCCAGAGAGCCTTTATCCATACTCAACAGAAGGCTGAGCAAGGGTCATGCAAGCAACACAATTTTCAGTTTCTGCCTCCTGAAAATTTTTACCTTTCTCCTTTAAAACATTACTGACCCTTTCACTCAGAAAAGCACAGTAAACTGGCTGAAGGTTGTTATTCAGATATAAGTGCGGCTTACTTCAGACACTGTAGGTGGTTTTCCTACAGTGAGAAAGACACATTTACAGAGAACATTGTCCTCACACATGTAAATGTCCTTCTGAAGGGATTAACTTCTACTAGCCCCTGCCAGGGCTGTTGTTGCTTTTATTTATTTATTTATTTTCCTCACCCGAGGACATTTTCCCATTTTTTTGTTCAGGTAGAGAGAGAAACATCGATGTGAAAGGAATACATCGAGTGGCTGCCACCTGCACGAGTGGCTGCCACCCGCCTGGGACAAACTGCAACCGAGGTACGTGCCCTTAGCGGGAACCGAACCCGGGTTTCTCAGGACTGCAGGTCGACGCTCTAACTGCTAAGCCAAACCAGCCAGGGCTGTTGTTGCTTTTAATTAACCAACCCAAATAACCAATATCCAGTCCTGGCCATTCTGGCTCCGTGGTTACAGTGTTGGCCCACAGACCAACGAGTTGAGGGTTCGGTCCCTGGGCTGGGGTTTTATGAGGCAACCAAATGATGTGTCTCTCTCATATTGATGTTTCTCTGTCTCCATCCCACTTTATCTGAAGAGAAATGGGAAAATATCCTCAGGTGAGGCTTTAAAAGAAAGAAACAATATCTCAGAGAGGCATATTTTAGGGCGGGAAACTGCTCTCCTGTAGATTCAAGGAACTGTGCATTTATCTTATTTTTATTCTCACTGCAGGACATTTCCCCATTTATCTTGAGATAGATAGGGAGGGAGAGAGGGAGGAAGAGAGAGAGACAGAGACAGACAGACAGACAGACATAGACTTGAGAGAGACACACCGAGAAGCTGCCACCCACACAACCCTACCCAAGGCCAGATACAAACTGCAACTAAGGCATGTGCCCTTAGTAAAAACCGAACCGGTGCCCTGGCCAGTTTGGCTCCGTGGTTAGAGCGTCGGCCTGTGGTCCAGAGAGACCCGGGTTCGGTTTCCGCTAAGGGCATGTACCTCAGTTGCGGTTTGTCCTCGGCCCTGGTTGGGTCGTGTGGGTGGCAACCACTCAATGTGTCCCTTTCACCTCGATGTTTCTCTCTATCTCCCTCCCACTCTATCTGAACAAAATATCAAAAAATGTCCTCGGGTGAGGACTTAAAAAGAAAAAAAAAAACCGAACCGGTGTCTCTCTGGTCCGCTGGCCAACACTCCAATCGCTAAGTCAAACCGGCCAGGGCTAGGAACTGTGTGTTTAAAAGAGAACATTCTCACCCAGAAAACGTTGGCTGGGAGAACCTCACAAAGTGTTAGACCGGTACTGTCAAGACTGGACCTCAGTTCAGCAACCTTGGTACTTGAGTTCTGATTAAAAAAAGAATTCAGAGCACAGCAGTGTCGCTCAGTGATTGAGCGTCGACGCGTGCACCAAGAGGTCACTGGTTTGATTCCTGCTCAGGGCATGTGCCTAATCCTCAGTGGGGGGTATACAGGAGGCAGACAATGTTCTCTCTCATTGACGTTTCTCTCTTTCTCCCTCTCCTTCCCTCTGTAAAACCAATACAGAAATAAAATTTAAATAAAATGAAGTCCCAGAGGTAGAAGAAATAGGCTCAGGAAACAAGTTACAGAGCAAAGGAGGGCCCTTTGATGCTTAAGGAACTTAGTGAGAACATTAACAACATAAAAAAGAACCAGTCAGAAATGAAGAATGCAGTAACTGAGATAAGAAAAAATTAGAGAAGCAACAGGACAGTAGGTAAAGCCAAGAAGCAAACCATCTATTTGGAATATAAGGAAGCAAAAACAACCAATCAGAAGAGCAAAAAGTAAAATAAAATAAAATAAGGATAGTGTAAGGAGCCTCTGGGACAACTTCAACTATACCAATATTCGCGTCAGGCAGGTGACAGAGAAGAGAGAGAGCAAGAAAATGACAGATAACTTCCCTAAGTTGGGGAAAGAAACATACATACAAGTCCAGGAAGCACAGGGAGTCCCAAACAAGAGCAACCCCTAAGAGTTCCACACCAAGACACATCATCATCAAAACGCAAAAGGTTAAAAAAGACAAAGAGAGAATCTTAAAAGCAGCAAGAGAAAGTAACTGGTTACCTACAAAGAAGAACCTATAAGACTGTCAGCTGACTTCTCAAAAGAAACTTTGCAGTCCAGAAAGAAGCGGCAAGAGATATTCAAGGTAATGAAAATCAAGAACCTACAACCAGGATTACTGTATCCTGCAAAGCTATTATTTAGAATCAATGGCCATATAAAGAATTACCCAGACAAGGAAAAGCTAAAGGAGCCCTGGCTGGTTTGGCTCAGTGGTTGGGGCGTCAGCCTGTGGACCAGAGAGTCCCCAGTTCAGTTCCCACTAGGGCACATACAAATTACAAAAAAAAAAGCTAAAGGAGTTCACCACCACCCAACCAGCATTATATGGAATGATGAAAAGTCTTATTGAAGGAGAACAAAAATATGAACAATAAAATGGCAATTAATTCATATCTACCAGCCACTGAATCTACCAACAAAATGAGCAAGGAGAACAGAAACAGACTCAGATACAAAGAACTTTGTTTTGCTTGCCAGATTGGGGTGGGGGTCCACATCTGTAATACAGTAAAGAAAAAAAATTGGTTCAAAAAAGTGGGGAGGGGGGGCATTGTGATGCAGGAGAGAGAAGGGTAAAGGTCAGAGCCTGGGGGTAAGAAGTGGGGGAGGAGTTTCAGAACCTTATTTTCCTGGAGGCTTAATGCTTAACAGCTACTATTTGGCCATCTGGCTGGATCACTCACTGGAGGGGGGCGTCTAACACACAAGACTTCAACTTCCTAGGGGAGGAAAAGTCTGAAGAGGGTCCAAACCCAATCACCAGAGTTATGCTAGGGCAGAAAAGGTCACCCGGGGACAAGGCCCTTGTTTTTCCAGTTCTGTCCCTTTACTAACCACCCTGAGTTTTGTGCCGGGTGACCTTCTGTCCTACCTCTAATCCTGTGGGTCTACATGCCTATTACAAACAACTCACAGATTCTACATACATAGCTGGCTAGACCTGCACCATGTCCCTCACCTCATTGCATAGTAATTCAAATGAAACCGCACAAGGAATGGGTCCGGGGCCCCTGTCATCACTTGAGCCAATGAAGCAGAGACAAGGTGGAATCCTACGAGGGCGTTTATTCCAACACTGCGGCAGTATGGGAGAGCAGTAACCCTCTCTACAACTTTCACTCAGAAATAACCAGTTTTAGAACAATTTTTGTTTTTCAAAAATAAATATCTCCATAGCCTATACCTTCTGTCACAAAAATTATTCAGTTTCTTTCGAACTAATTAACATTCTTTGCTGTTAGTTGTGTGACCACTAAAAAATTGAGTAACACCTTTAAATCTATTTTTGTACTAAGGCCCAAAGAAGGTTTACTTAACAATTGCCTAGCGCCCTGGCCTGTTTGGCTCACTGGTTGGAGCCTGAGGACCAGAGAGTCCGGGTTTCAGTTCCCACTAGGGGCACGTACAACAAACAAACAAACAAACAAAAAACGGCTTGCCTAGCAATCAATGTGTAACAGCTGAAATAAATTAATCAAACTGCTCAGATCTGCTCAGCTCCAAAGTGAGCTATTTACTCTCTAGTGTCCTTGGCTGCCTCTAGGAGGCTGGAGAAAAGGCATGGGGGAGGGGAGATAACAGACACCAAGGCTTGTTCCAAGGGCTGCAGCAGCTCAGCGGCTTCCAGTAGAATGGATTTAAAGTACCACTTCTTAGCCCTGGCCTGTTTTGCTAAGCGGTTGGAGCGTCAGCCTATGAACCTGAGAGTCCCGGGTTCGGTTCCCACCAAGGGCACATACTTTGGTTAGTTTGTCCCCGGCCCTGGTTGGGGTCCTGTGGATGGCAACCACTGGATGTGTCCCTCCCACATTGATGTTTCTCTCTCACACACGCTCTATCTGAAGATAAATGCAAAAATGTCCTCAATGAAGATTTTTAAAAAAAAAAGTACCACTTATTCCCTACACATTTAGGTCGGGCAGTGGTCCCTCCAACTTCCACAACCTGCACAGGGTTTCTGGGTGGTATTAATTTCCCCATTGTTCCCAGGACCACTGTAGTTTCCAGGCCTCCAGGAGAAATATCTGGAATGTTTACAAGACTTACTTTATCTCATTCTTGTTTAAGCTCTGGGTGGGGAGTGAGACCTTTCCCCGTCTTTGAACCATCAAGTTAGATCTTTCTGAGTAGAATATTTATGATGTAGCAACATGAAATCTTGAACAAAAGAAGACATCCTACCCTATGTCACAACAGCAACAACATGTAAAGTAAAAAAATGAGTGCTCTGAAAAGGAAGGACTGGGAAACTAGCTTCAGAATCTCATCTCACACCAACCCCCACAACACAATGACTCTCTCAGGGTCCGAGCAGCACAACCTCCAAACAGCAGAGATGGAAGATTCCCTGTGTTTACATAACAGCAGAGAACAAACCAAGCCCCCAACAAATAGGAGAGCAAGTAAAGTACATCGGAAACCAAAGTTGCATCACAGACAGACAAGGACTGGGAAAGCTTCAGAGAAAACAGATCACACACACACACAGTTCTTATCCCTGTTTTTTTCATTAGTGAAGTGTTTGGGCAGCTGAAACCATGAGAGGGAGAGCAGGGATGATCCTCCAGGTAAAAACTGCTAAGAAGTTCCTGCAATCCCTGTCACGGGGTCAGCCTCCAACAGCACCTAAGTCACAGCTAAGTGAGATAAGTCCCCATCTGTAAAAAAAACTAATTAAATTATACAAGACAAAAACCAAAACCACCCTAACATACAATATTTACAACTGCGGACAACAGAAACCCAAAAGCTTTATGGCTTCCCGTGCCCTTTGGCTTGCACAGCCAGAGTTATCAGACAATACACCACACAGAATACCCTGCGCCACGCAGAGCTGTACCTCCTCACCACGCTGACCAGGCTACTTTCAGAGACCAGGTGAGGTCCGAGAGAGGTCACAACCAGGAGCTGATGAAGCTGATACCAGATGAGAGGCACAAAGACAACTCTCATCACAGTGAACAGAGCTCCAGAGGTACAGGTTCCTCCATTACAAACGAGGGAGGCTGATCACCCCAGACTCAAGCCTGCAACCGGGGGATCCACCCGCAACCTTCCGTGCCCGACACTTAGCCCAGCCTGCTGAACAGGCACACCAGCAAGGGGCACCGGGGTCCTTTGCAACAGCTCCACGTGGGCGCCTCTCCCCTCCCCTCCCCCCCTCCGGGGATAATTCCAGGCTTGGGCTACCGCACGTTCGCCTTCCCCTGGGAGACACTAAATTCTATTGGGACCAAAACCCTTCCGAGGGGAAAAACACACACTGACCTGCGTTTTCCCCAGACCCAGAAAGAAAGCGCAACAGTTTGTTAGGCGACCGCTTCCACTTCCGGAGGGCGGCCGCTCCGGCCCGGGTGGCTTGTAAAGCGATGACCCTGCGGAAGGAAATCTTGCAGCGCTTCCCAGTGCTTGGCGCGCACTTGGCCCCGCCCACCTCGCGTAGGCGCCATGGGGGCCGCCATGTTGAGACACCTTCCTGCCGTACAGAAGGCAGTGGTCCGTGATTGAGGAACAGGAACCAGAGGAGGCGGCAATGTAAGAGGCTATAAAATGATCTCATTTCTAACATGCAAACTGAGGAATGAAATTCACCCCAGAAGTTGTGATCACAGCCTGACACCAAAATGTGCGTGAAGGTGCAGAGATCCAGACCAAATAACCTAAGTCTCCTGAGGATGAAATTGTCTGCTGAGGTCAAGAGGAGATATGTAACTTGTGGTAAGTTTCAAAGAAAGTTACACAGGGAAAAAATCACTAGAGCTGACAAATTATGGCTTTCCCGAGAACCCTGGGGGGAAAAGGCTACAGTGCACTCAGATGTTAGGGGAAAGGGGAGTGGAATGAAAACTATGATAATTGCAAAAATGAGCCACCCTGAGGGCTTCACATCAGTGGTAGCAATTGTTTCTGGCTCTAGAAAGAATCCTATGTTAAAATCCAGCCCCTTGAATCTAACACTTTGTTGTGTAAACTTGGGGAATTACTTGTATCTTTAATATTGAACTTTTTCAGAAGTTTGATAATTTTCACTTCTCAGATTGTTGTGAAAATTAAAAAACAAAATGCTCAGAAAGATAAATCTGGAATCCTGGCAACAAGTGCTCAGTTTGTTACTTTAATTGATACTTGGAGGCCAACAAAAGCAAAAGCGCTATCAATAATCTGCATGTCACATTCAGTCAACTGAGATTCAGGGAGCTCACCTGGACATACCAGATTTGGACACACCACACTGAGATCTCGGTGCCCACAGCACCTGCCTCCTGGCAGGTGGGTGAGCAGGATCTCAAAAGTTCCATTTCTTTCTAAAACGCATCAAAGACACAGGTGGTCATTATGTGCATTGTGGGAGTGAGGGGTGACTGGCCTGGGAATGTCTCCCCAGGAAGAGGCAAGATTTTGCGACCCAAGGCAGGCTGCAGGTGTAGATGTCAAATTGCAAATGGACACCTTAGCCCTTGACCTCCTCCAACAGCTCAGGGATAGGGACTTACCTCATACTTGTTTCACACAAGAGAAAACTGAAGTCCAGATAAGAGGAAGGAGTCATTTCCTTGTGAGTCCCAGTGATATTCGAGAACTTGAAGTTCAAATCTAAGATGCCTGAATCAGGGCATGGGGAGTCTGACCATTGCCATCCTATTTCCCTCTGCACTGGCTTTGGGACTGTAAAGCACCCTGCTCATTCTGATGCCATCTGGTCTCCTTGAGATCAGCTCCAACCCAAGAACCGCCCCTCACACAAGCAGGAAAATGGGAGAACATTATAAAGCAAGAGCTTACTGCATTATCAGATGACGAGATTTCAGAAAGTGATGGAGAATGTTAGCACAGGTTAAAATTAAAAGTGTTCATTGCATTGTGCATAGCATTAAAAGGTAAAAAAACAAACAAACAAACAGAACCTATTAGTCCAATACAAAAAACATTTATTTCATAAAGCAAAAGAGGAGCAAAATGAGTAAAATTCCAACATCCATCTTTATTGTTCCACTGTCCTTTCGTTAAAGAAAATTGCCAAAACTCATAGCAGCTTAGGCAAAACATATGATCAGATCTTTTGGCAAAGATACAGAAATAAGCAAATACACAACTGAGATAAGGGTCACCATAAACTCCTAGAAAAAATACAATCAAGCAACACTAAGGTAGAACAACAAAGTCACAAAATAAGTTTAAATAAGGAATGATTGATCAAACAAAATATTCTCTAGGATGTGGAGGATTTCAATCTCTCACACATTGCTGTAAGATTGCAAAATGGTATAATCAGTTTATTTTTCTCTCTAAAGAATCATGTAGTGATTTTTAAAGAAGAGAAGAAGGGAGCGGGAGAAACATGGATATGAGAGAGCAATATAGATCAGTTGCCTCCTGCAAGCCCCTGCAAAGAGCCCGCAACCCAGACACATGCCCAGACCAGACTTGGAACTGGCAACCATTCTGTGCATGGGACAACATCCAACCAAGTGAACCATACTGGCCAGGGCAGTACAATCAGATTAGATCACAACTAGCTAACCCCTGTAGTTCAATATTCACCTACCCAATGACTCAGATTATGAACTGAATTTTTGACAAAGGTAAATAAAACTCATATCCATATAAAGAATCATACACAAATGTTTGTACCAGCTTTGTCAGAAATAACCAAATATTCATAAGGGATAAACTAATGGTGATATACTCAAACATAAGAATAGTTCTCAGAAAAAAGATGAGCTACTAATATATCTTTAATAAGTCTCCAAGTACTTACACAACATTAAATAAAAGCAGAATATACTTGGAAAAAGCATAGTTATCTATTGAAATGGAATGTAATTCAAGGGTTACTTGGGAGAGTTGTGAAGAACAGGGAGAGATTAAAAAAGGTCATGAAGCAAATTCAGAGAGACAGCTATGGTCATTATTATTAGTAAAATGACAGTTTCAGTTTCATGCACATGTTAAGAGTTATGAAATACTACTATGCTTAAAATATGTAATTTACTAATTGGAGTTTTTTTGGTAACCTCACCAGAAGACATTTTTGCATTTATCTTCAGATAGAGAAGGAGGGAGAGAGAGGGGGAGAGAGAGAAACAGGGATGTGACAGAGACACATCGACTAGTTGCCACCCACAGGACCCCAATTGGAGAGGGGACAAACCACAATCGAGGTATGCGCCCTTGTGGGAACCGAACCTAGGAATCTCCAATCTGCAGGCCAATTGAGCCAAACTGGCCAGGGCCTAATTAGAGCTTTTAAAAAACATTTCAAGATAAAAAAAAAAAAAAAAGAGTGTATGTCCAACTATTTTGGGAAAATAGGTTTGGCAACTCTATATTCAATCCACTTCTCATGTACTCTGGGGGAACAGCCTTGCCTCTGGGACATAATACATAACAATGAAGAAGTTTCAACGAAACCAGTAAGAATGCTGGCTGGGTCACAAAAGCCACAGCCCTAAATACAGCTACCCATTGTCTTCAACTTTCCTTTTCTGGAGCATAACAATGGCTCTGACTTGATCATCTGATGCTACAGAAAGCTACAAAACCTTTGCATCATATTCAATTAGAATGACTGTGTCCACAAGTTAAACATGCCTAAAAGTCCTCAGATTTCTATACACACCATTTCTGCGGTGTTTTTTACTCAGAAAAATTCCCGGATGCACATTTAGATGAGGCATATTCCATCTAATGGGCTGCAGTCTCCTCCAACACCAATTAGGCCAGTGTTTCTGAAGTAAAATGGTTTCCCCAACCTCCTATGGTTCTACAACCAGTAACCATCACCCATGTAATTGTAGGCATTAGGGCACATGGCCCTTTGCAAGCCCTGGGCAAGAGATTCCCTTCAAATGTATTGGTATCCTGTGACAAGAAAAATATCATGCTGCTCCCAGCCATACCTGAGGTTGTCACATCTACCCCCTCTTTGGAGTGATCTGTTATCTTATAGCATCCAGACTTCACAGTGGACTAGCAATGCCAGTCTTTCCTGGGAAAATATGGGCAGCAATGCAAATTTGGCAAGAATTGAGCTAATTTCTGTATCATATTGTTCCCTCAAAGACAAAGAATGTTTGAAATCCCCATAAAATTTTTTCACCTCTTCATGCTTATAGACCACAAAACACAGTAAATAGAATACCTAAGATAAAAGAAGACTTAGTAAACAGGTCGTTATTTTATAAAGTAAAAAGACATGAGCCTGGAAGTTTGTGCATTGGTGACTTAAGACACAAAATTCATCATTGGCATCTAAAAAAAGCACGTCCCTCAAAAAGACAGTCAGTGTGCAAACTGCTAGCTGAACTCAAATTATGTTCTCTGGAGCCAAAACTGAGTCCGGTCCTGCCCTGGCAAGTTTGGCTCAGCGGTTAGAGCATCGGCCGCAAATCAGAGAGACCCGGGTTCGATTCCCTCTAAGGGCATGTACCTCAGTTGAAATCTGTCCCTGGCCCTGGTTGGGGTTGTGTAGATGGCAACCACTCGATGTGTCTCTCTCACATCGATGTCTCTCTCTCCCCCTCCCGCTCTATCTGAAGATAAATGCAAAAATGTCCTCGTGTGAGGATAAAAAACAAACAAAAAACGGAGTCAGGTCTATGTGCCTACTAGTGAGAGTGAAAAGAATTAAGACTTCCTAAGGGTTCAAACTACTCCTAATTTTCTTCAACAAATCAGAGAACAGAGTAAGCTTCCCTGAACACATGAAATTCGTGGGGACCTGATAGGTGGTACAGGTGAAAAAGCTTCAGCCACAGAAACATGCAGTGACAAAAACCTGGCAATACATCTGGATAAGTTATAAAGTGCAACAGAGATACATGTTTCCCACATAAAAAAAATTACAACAAAAAAAAAGTTATGGGTATTTTTCCTAAATGAGGCTTCACAGATTTTCTTAGAGTATTGCTAAGAGGTAAGAAATTACATTTCCTACACATGTAACAAATTTCTCCTATGTGAACTCATATGTCTGGAGGAAGGTTAGAATTTTGGCTAAGATTTCCCACATTATCTGTACTCATAAGGTCTTTCTCCTGCATGAACTTTTTGATGGTAATGAAGGCCATAGATCCTGGTATAAGATTTCCCACATTTATTGCATGCATAAGGCCTTTCTCCCGTGTGAACTCTCTGATGACAACGAAGGTCATAGTTCCGAATGAAAGATTTGCCACATTCACTGCACTCATAAGGCTTTTCTCCAGTGTGAAATCTCTGATGATAACAAAGGCTAGAGCTAGTTGTAAAAGATTTCTCACATTCACTGCATTCATAAGGCTTTTCAGCTGTGTGAAATCTCTGATGACGACGAAGGCCAGTGCTAGTGGTAAAAGACTGCCCACATTCACTGCACTCATAAGGCCTTTCCCCAGTATGAACTCTCTGATGACAACGAAGGTAATAAATCCTGGTATAAGATTTCCCACACTCATTGCACTCATAAGGCCTTTCTCCTGTATGAACTCTCTGATGACAACGAAGTTCATAGTTCCGGGTGAAAGATTTCCCACATTCACTACATTCATAAGGCTGTTCTGCTGTGTGAAATCTCTGATGATGACGGAGGCCAGTGCTAGTAGTAAAAGAATGCCCACATTTACTGCACTCATAAGGCCTTTCCCCAGTATGAACTCTGTGATGACAACGAAGGTAATATATCCTGGTAAAAGATCTCCCACATTCACTGCACTCATAAGGCCTTTCTCCTGTATGAACTCTCTGATGACAACGAAGTTCATAGCTCCGGGTGAAAGATTTCCCACAATCATGGCACTGATAAGGCCTTTCTCCAGTGTGAAAACTCTGATGATAACGAAGGCCAGGGCTACTGAAAAAAGATTTCCCACATTCACTGCACTCATAAGGCCTTTGTCCAGTGTGCACTCTCTGATGATAGTGAAAACTAGAAAACGTGCTAAACTTTTTTCCACATTCACGGCACACAAAACACAGTCCTCCAGTATGGACACCCTTGTCCTGAAAAAACATGCGATTACAGCCCATGGCTTTCTTACATTCTTTACTGGTGTAATAATATTTTCTACTTTTAAAAGTCACCCCACAAGTCGAGATTTCATTTGGCCTATCCATGGTATGAGTAGCCTTTTCGTGAACATGTCCCGACCCTGTAAGGATGTCCTGCCCAACCTCCCCGCAGGTAAAATGCTTCTGGGACACAATGAAATCGAAGCCATTTGCAAATGAGATTCTGTCCACACCTCTTATGAAAGGCTTCTCTTCCACATGCTGCTCCTGGTGCTGGTGAAATTTTGCACTGAAATAAAATTGTTTTGCACAGGCCCCACACCTCAACAGTATCTGGCTGGGTTCTGTTTCCTGCAGCTCAATCAAGTGGAAAATTTTTCTCAAGACTAATCCACAACTCTCACAGGGGTGGCTCTTCTGGGAAGACAAAGCTAACTTGGGATTCTTTGCTTCTGACACTCTTATAGAAACGTTCTGTTCAATCAGTGCTTCCACATCCTCTGCTCCACAGCAGCAACCTGAACAAAAGGAAATGCAGGTGAAGTACTTCTTGACCTTATTAAAAAGAATATCGTCATCACAAATGTTTATCTGTCATAAGTATGCATGATTCTATAGAATGATTTTCAAGACAAGTGAGTTACACTCTGAGAAAATGGCTTATACATTACTTGGCCCCCCAATTCAGTCAATGGTGAAAACCTCACCGAAGGAGGGACAGAAACATAGGATGAGACCCAAAGTAGAGAGGCGGGGTTCACTAGTTGTTCCTCCACAAATGGTTTCCTGTAGGACCTTTCATGATGGTGACATGAGTCTGTGTAGAATAATTTGAATGTGCTCAAACCCATAAAAATCAATGGTATCAGAGCACATGATTTTCAAGTTCAATATAATCATATGTGCACACTCCAAGGCTCTGCAAGCATGGACCAAGGTTGGAGTGCAGGAAAGAGAGACCTGTGAAAAGAAATGTTGACGGTGTAATAGGTTATCCATAGGCTGGGAATCTTCAGGAGGAATGAGAACTGATCGAACTGAGTATTGGCAAAGTGTCAATAAGCAAGAACAAGTGAAATGGGGTGAGAAACTGGCAGTAGGAACAAAGCACTGTTGAATAAGATGGGTTTGTAGCTATGACTTAACAAAACCCTGGAGTTAAAATCTCCCCCACAGCCCTTTACCAAGTGAAGACTGCCTCTGGGTCCACCCTGTCATTCACAGAGCCATGTTTCTTTTGTGATTCACAAACAGTGTTTGTCTGCATGAATTCCAAAAGAAATCCCTTTGGCAACAATCAACCACAGGAAAGAAAAAAAGATCACTATGTCCCCAGTAGTATTTGCCACCAAAGATTCCAACCATAGATTGTCATTGGAAGATAAATGCTGCCAAAGAAAGCCACTTTGAACCCATATATTCTTTGTTATTCTGACCTCAGCTCATGGAGCATTAAGGAAACTGGGCTGCAGACATTTGTCTCAAACGTAAAATACAACCCCACCCAGCCAACTCCCTTGGTTCCACATGCTGATGAATCTATTTCTCCAGCCAGACTTGGTCCATAAGGTTGAAAGGGTAAATGCTTCATCAATGCATACAGATCAACACAGGACTAAAAGAAATGCTAAAAATAAGACAACATAATGATTTTTCACCAATTGATACCAAATAAACGAAGAGCTACATACAGTCTGAGAAATTATCCAAAATATTTACTTTACAAATGAGGGGGGGAAGTAGAGAGGGAGAGAAAGAGAGACTGAGGGAGGGAGGAAGGGAGGGAGGGATGGAGGGAGGGAGAAAAGGAAACACAAATTTACTTTTAAAAATGTTTGTGAGCCCTGGCCAGTTTGGCTCAGCGGTTAGAGCGTCAGCCTATTGTCCAGAGAAACTTGGGTTCAGTGTCCACTAAAGGCGCGTACCTCAGTTGCAGTTTGTCCGGGGCCATGGATGGGTTGTGTAGGTGGCAACCACTCGATGTGTCCCTTTCACATCAATATTTCTCTCTCTCTCTCTCTTTATCTCTCTCCCTCCTACTCTATCTGAACAAAAAATGGAAAAATGTCCTTGAGTGAGGATAAAAAAATAATAAAATAAAATAAATAAATAAAAATAAAAATGTTTGTGAGCTGTAAGAGAATACAAATAGAACCAACACAATGAAGACACCAACACAGGAACAAAAGGAGACAATTAGATAAACAGAAATTATAAAAAAGAATGAAATAGAAATGTTGAGTTGACAAATTACAATGAATAAAATGTAAAATGCAGTAATTAGAGGAAACCTCACAGCAAGAAGAACATCCTAAGGCTGTTCCTCCACTATCCTCTAAACCACCACAAGTGGTCTTGGGCAGAACATATCAGTTGATCCCTGGAGAGGAAGAGCAGAAATCTGAAGTAGAAAAATACATCATCCATAAGGAATTTGATGGCAACACTTACAACGACACTATTAAGATGTCATTATTCTCTCTGCTCCAGCTCAAATTCCAGATTATACAATACACACCCACACACATGCACTCACACCCTTCCTTCTAAATGTTCGCCCTCTCCTTCATCTTCCTCCTCTAAAATCAGAAGCAGCTCTCCCTGGCCAGTTTGGTTCAGCGGTTAGAGCGTTGGCCTGTGGTCGGGAGAGACCCAGGTTCGGTTCCCGCGAAGGGCATGTACCTCGGTTGCAGTTTGTCCCCGGGCCTGGTTGGTCGTGCGGGTGGCAGCCACTCGATGTGTCCCTTTCGTGTCGATGTTTCTCTCTCTCTCTCTCTTCCTCTCTCTCCCTCCCACTCTATCTGTACAAAAAATGGAAAAATGTCCTCAGGGGAGGATAAAAAAAAAATCAGAAGCAGCTCTTCAAACAAGGCTTCTCTCTTCCTTGCTCTCTCTCCCAGCATGGAAAATAAAGAAAAGAAAAATGCAACAAAGAGTACCAAAAGCAAACATGAAAGAATATGTGATGTCAAAGACAGATCACTTGAAAATCATCCAGGCGGAAAGAAAAAAAAAGGAAAAAATAAATTTAAAGAATACGGCAAGTTGATTTAAGTAACACAAGGAAGAAAATTGATAAATTTGTATTATGGGAATCCCAAGAAACATTAAGGGTGGTCGATCTGAAGGGAGAAAGAGAGTGAGAAAAGGGAGAAAAGAAGAAAGAAGGGTAGAACATTTATTTAAAAATAGAGTCAGCCCTCGTTTATCATGGTTAATCAGTTCCAGACTCTAATGTGATAAATGAATTTCCACAAAGTAGGATACTTTATTTATATACATTCGTCCCTTGCCACTTCACACTATACTTACTATATTTGAAAAAACCGCAATAGAGTGAAGCTGTGAAAGTCGAAATGCAAAGTGACGAGGGACGACTGTATAAGCTGAACCTGGCTGGTGTGGCCCACCAGTAGTTGAGCGTCAACCCATGGACCAAGAGATTGTGGGTTCCATTCCTCGACAGGGCACAAGCCCACACTGTGGGCCCAATCCCCAATGGGGGGCATGCAGGAGGCTGCCAATTAATGTTCTCTCTTGTCGATGTTTCTCTCTCCCTCTTCCTTCCTCTCCAACAGTAATAAAAAAAAATTTGTTTTTAAATATAAGCTGAAAACTGACTTTTATAATCTGCAAAACAGATATGAATAATCAATAATATGCATTCTCACAGGTCCCTGTACGGATTCAATGCAAATTGGACTTCACCAAGACACATTATAGTGAAAGTGTCAAAAGTCAAGAGCAAAAATAATTGGGAAACCAGAAACTCCTTGCACACAGGGGAACGGCTGAGTAAGGTCATCAGTAGATTCTTCTGAAGAAACCTTCCAGGCTAAGAGAAAATAAAATGAAATATTCAAAACACTACATGAAAACCATCAATACTTTATCCAGAAATCCTGTTCTTCAGAAATAAGTAGTTTCCAAGACAAACAAAAAGCTAAGAAAGTTCATTGCCACTCAAACTGACTTACTAAAAATTCCAAGAAAAGTTTTTCAAGACGAAAAATAATACTAAGTAGACACACATATACATAGGAATTTATAAATCTCACTCGTAGAGTGAGAATAGAATGAAATTCACAATTCTGTAACATTGCATTGGTGGAATGTGCATTTAGTAACTCTATTAGAAAAATTAAAACAATTCAAAATGACAAAGCTAGCATTGTGTACCTTAAGCTACACAATATAAAAAGATGTGAATTGTGACACCAAAAGTATATAAAGGGGTAAGTGGTGGAGAGTCAAAGGGTAGAATATTTGTACACAATTATCAAGATAAGATAGACTGTAAAGAGTATGAATTGTCTTATATAAGTCTCTTGGAAGTCACAAGCAAACACTATGTAATAGATATACAAAAAATAAAGGAGTCATACTACTATACAAAATCATCAAATCACAGAAGACAACCACATAGTAGAAGAGAAACAAAACCCAGAAACCAATGAAGAAATGGCAATAGTAGTTCCTTAAATAAATTCTTCAATCAGAAGACAGAGTGACTGCAGGAATAAAACAAACACATAAATACCAGACGCAATATACTGCCTACAAGAGACACTAACTCTTTATGAACACAAATTGGCTGAAAATAAAAAGATACAAAAAATTATCCATGCAAATGAAACCAAAAGAGGGCAGGAATAGCTAAAATTCTGTCAGACAGACTGCCTCAAAAACTGTCACAGAGACAAAGGTCACTCTGACAGGTTTGGCTCATGGGTTAGAACATATGCCCTCGGATCAATGAGTCATGGGTTAGAGTATGGACCCTAGGATCAATGAGTCACAGGGCAGGAACTTTGGTTTGTCTCCACCCTGGTCAGTTCCTAAGGGAAGCAACCAGTCAATGTGGAGCTCTCACATCAATGTTTCTCTCCCTCCCTCCCACTCTATGTGATGACAAATGAAAAAATATTCTCAGGTGAAGATAAAAAACTTCCTTCTTTAAAAGAAACAAAGGTCATCATAAAATGATAAATAAATCAATTCATCAAGAGGATAACAATTTTAACTATGATGTACTAAACAACATTAGAATATTTTCAACTAAGCAACTAAGGACATTAAGGAAATAATATCAGAATAAAAGCCAGGAAAAATTCAATATTAGTAGGCAACTTCAACATTGCCCCTTCAACAATAGGTAGATCATACCGTCCAAAAGTAATAAAGAATAATGGAAGTTTGACTACACTTTAGAGCAAACAGAACTAATAAATAGACACAGAACATTCCATCCAAATGCAGCAAAAGATGCATTCTTGTCAAGTGCAAGAAAAACACTCTCTAAGTAGATCATATGTTAGGTCAAAAAACAAGTCTGAAACTTTCACAAGAAATCACATCAAGTAGCTTATCTAGTCACAGTGTATGGAACTAGACATCAATTTCAGTTTCAAGAAAGCTGGAAATTCAGATATATATTAAAATTAAACAATACACTCCTACTGAACTATCAGTGTGTGAAAAAAAAAAAAAACAAGAGAGAACTCGAAAAAATATAGAGGCAAAGTGAATACAAACACAAAGCTCACATATGAAATGCAGGAAATGAAATTCTATGAGGACATTGTACAGGGATAAATGACTACATTGAGAAAAAAATCGCATATAAACAACCTAACCTTGCACATCATAAAACTAGAAACAACAAAAAAGGAAACCCAAAGCTAGCAAAAAACAAACAAAATTAGAACATAAAAGTAAAGAGACAAGATAAAAAAAAAGAACATTGTAGAGTTACTTTTTATTTTTATTTATTTTTTTATTTTTTTATCCTCACCCGAGGACATTTTTCCATTTTTTTCTTCAGATAGAGTGGGAGGGAGAGAGAGAGAGAGAAACATTGACGTAAAAGGGACAGACACATCAAGTGGTTGCCACCAGACACATCAAGTGGTTTCCACTAGCACAATCCAACCAGGGCCAGGGACAAACTGCAACCGAGGTACATGCCCTTGGCAGGAACCGAACCCAGGTCTCTCTGGACCACAAGGTAACGCTCGAACCGCTGAGCCAAACCACCCAGGTCTGTAGAGTTACTTTTTAAAAAAGAAACACAAAATTGGGAAACCTTGAGCAAGACTAAAACAAAAGATGCCCTGGCCTGTTTGGCTCAGCGGTTAGAGCGCCCGCCTGCGGTCCGGAGAGACCCGAGTTCGGTTCCCGCTAAGGGCACGTACCTTGGTTGCAGTTTGTCCCCGGCCCTGGTTGGTAGTGCGGGTGGCGGCCACTTGATGTGTCCCTTTCACATCGATGTTTCTCTCTCTCTCTCTCTTCCTCTCTCTCCCTCCCACTCTGTCTGTACAAAAAATGGAAAAATATCCTAGGGTAAGGATAAAAAAAAAAAGACTAAAACAAAGAAACAGGACTCAAATAAATTTTTAAAAATGAAAGATATGACATTATACCCGACAGTATGAACCACAACGCATCATAAGAGATGTTGGCAAATGACATGACCCTACATAGAGAAAATTGTAAAGATCCCACCATAAACTTCTAAAATTAATAAAGGAAATCAGAACCCTGGCCTGGTAGCTCAGTTGCTGAGAGTGTGGTTTTATTGTACCAAGGTTGTGGGTTGGATTCTCCATCAGGAAACATGCTGGGAGCTGCCAATGAAGGCATAGGTGGGTGAAATAGCAGATCAATGTTTCTCTCTCTCTCTCACTTCCTCTGTCTAAAAGCAATAAATAAAACATTTAAAGAATAAATAAATTCAGCCCTGGCCGATTTTGCTCAGTGGTTGGAGCATCAGCCTGCGGACCAGAGAGTCCTGGGTTTGGTTTCCACTAGGGGCACGTACCAAAAAAAAAAAAAAGAATAAATAAATTCAGAATAGTTACAGGATACAAAATCAACACACTAACATCACTTTCATTACTACACAACAACAACAAAATCTTTGATAGAGAAATGAAAAAGGTAGTCAAATTTAAATAGCATAAAAAACAATAAAACAGTCAGAAATAAATGCAACCAAAAAGGTGAAATGTCTGTACATTGAACACTACAAGACACTGATGAAAGACATCACAAACAAGTGGAAAGATATTCTGTGTTTTGGATTTGAAATGTTGATATTATTAAGATGTCTATACAACCCCAAAGCAATCTACAGATTAAATGCAATCCCAGTGATAACTCCAATTGTATTTTACAAAGAAATGAAAAGAGAATCTTGAAATATGTGGCCCTTCAAAAGACCTCCTTTAGCAAAAAGCAATGTCGAGCAAGAAAAATCTGGTGGCATCACACTTTCTGACTTCAATCCATTATAAAGCCTAAGCAACCAAACAAAGTGTTTTTGGAATAAACACAGAAACACAGACCAACAAAGCAGAACAAAGAACACAGAAATAAACCAATGCACACACCTTCAAGCACTCTTTGACAAAAACTGCAAGACATAAAAGAAAGGGAGGATACAATGAATTGTGCTGAAACATAGTCACATGTGAAACAACAAAACTAGACACCACTGACAAAAATTAACTCAAACTGTAAGAAAGAATTAAATGTCAGTGTTAAATCAAAACACTCCTTCAGGACAACCTATAGAAAAAGCTTTGGAAAATTGTTTCAGAAATGGTTTTCTGGATGTGACACCAACCACCAGGCAAAAGAGAAAAAAATAAACAGTCTGGACTACAACAAACGAAAAAGCTTCTTCACAGCACAAGAACAATGAACAAAATAAAGGAAAAGGTATCTACAGGATGGGAGAAATACTTGCAAATCATGCAAACGTCAGTTGGAAATACTGTGGATTCTGTTCAGATCAGCACAATAAAGCAAATATCGCCATTTAGAAAGTAAGTCACACAAATATTTTGAGTTCCTAGTGAATAAAAAAGGTATGTTAACACTATACTGCAGGGTAATAACAACCCAACACCTCTGTCTAAAAAAACTCTACACAGCATAATTAAAAATACTATATCGGCCCTGCCTGGTTGCTCAGTGGTTAGAGCATCAGCCCACAGACCAAGGAGTCTGGAGTTCGATTACCAGTCAAGGGCATGTACCTCAGTTGCTGGCTAGATCCCCAGTCCTGAACTGAGTTGGGTAGAAGGCAATCAATTGATGGCTGTCTCTCACATGAATGTTTGTTTCTCTCTCTCTCTCTGTCTCCCTTTCTCTCTCAATCTCCCTCCCTCCCTTCCTCTCCACTTATCCCTCCCTTCAACTCCTCCACCCAAATAAAAAAATCAATGAAAAAAATATCCCAAGGAGGCAAGGATTAAAAAAAAAAAAAGCCCGACGGTGTGGCTCAGTGGTTGAGTGTCATCCATGCACCAAGAGATCTCTGGTTGGATTCTGGTGAGGGAACAAGCCCAGTTTGTGGGCCAAATCCCCAGTCCGGGGCAAGCAAGGGGCAGCCAGTTGATGTTCTCTCTCATGGATGTTTCTCTCTCTCTCTTCCTTTCCTTTCCTCTGTCTCTAAAAAAAAATCAATAAAGGAAAAAAAACCAAAACAAAAACTACATACACATAAGCATGTAGAGACAATTCTCAAAAAAAAATATGTACAAATGGCAAACAGTATTATAAAAAATGTTTTCCTCATTAATCAAGGTATACTCCATTAGCCTTCCTGCACACATGCCTCCAAATGAGTTCATGACAACAGGTATTGAGCCTGCAGGGAGAGAAACCAGCAATGCACACAAACCAGCCCTACTGAGGACAGCAACCACCCAGAAAATGAGAAATCAAGCAGTGTCACAGTCCACATGTCAGGACAGAGCACACCCTGGGAAAAGGGATATGAGAAAATGCAGAGCCAGTCCAGCCAGGTAAGGGGCAAGAGTGAGGGTCTTACCCAGTGAGGATATAAGCTCAAAGTTCTCCAGCATCACATTCAGGTACAGGCGTCTCTGACTCTCATCAAGGAGGCTCCATTCCTTCCTGGAGAAGTACAGGGCAATGTCCTCAAAGGTCACACCAACCTGTCAGATTTGAGACAATGGAAACCAGAGCAGTCTCTCTGACAAACAGCAATCCTACTCCTGACACATCTTCCCCAGCTCAACCTCCTCCAGGGCTCCCCAGTCTAGTGAGAACACGGGGTCCTCATGCCAGTGTTGGCTGCTCTCATCACAGTCCCATTATTCCGGTTACCGCCCTCAGCAACAGCAGCTGGGTAGGGTGGATGGGGGTGGGGGAGGCGGACAACATACAAATGCCCCCTAAGCTCCGGGACATCCCTGCACAGCCCCGTCCTTCCTGCCCAGCAGGACCACTGCAGCCTCCACATCACGCCTCCCAGACAAGCCAAACCTGGGCTCATGCTTCACCCTCACGTCCCCACACCAGGCCCCAGGCCCCTCCGCTCACACTCCCTCTGGCTGTGCCCACCACGGTGTCAGGTCTACCTCCTCCCCGTCTTCAGACCCCAGGCTCCCTTCCTGCTCCATCCCACGGGGAGCCGGACCCAGCACGACCCCCGTCCTCTGAGGGACCCCACAGCCCCGAGAGCCGGGATGAGGCTGTGCCGCCCGCCCTGCCTCTGATCCCTGCTCCAATACAGATCCGCACGGCAATTTCGGACACAAGGAGCCCGTCCCCTCCGCCCTGTGCCTGCCGTGTCCTCAGAAGACAACACTCCGTGCCCTCGGCCTTCCCCACGGCCCTCCACCCGGGGCTCAGCTGCGGGACGTGACGTGCCCCGCACCCGGGCTGTGCGGTTCAGGCCCGGAGGCTGCGGACCCGCACTCACCTCAGACGGGCGCCTCAGCGCGGCCGCCGCCATCGGACTCGGTGGGCGCAGCGGGCCGGAGCCGGGGGAGAAGAGGCCGCCGGGGGCAAGGCCGTCCAGGTCCCGGCCCTGGCGCGGGTCACGCGGGTGGCGTCGCCCAGCTTCACTCCCGCGTGTGTGCCGTGTGGGCCACGACGCTCGCGCCTTTTCAGTCAGGCCACTGGCCCAGCGATCTGGAGCCTCCCTCAGGGTGGTTCAGCGGCATCTGCCGGATGTCCCGCCCCTGCGCCTCGCGCTTCGGCGGAAACGCCTTTTCTGACCCTTCATTGGCTGAGCTGGCGGTCTTGCACCCACGGTCTTCTGGGTAATGGGGGTTCGGGCCTCGCTGACCGTGATCAAGGTTTTCCCACGTCCCTCGGGTTAAACCGAGATGCGCGCTGGAGGCGCAGGGAAATGGTGCGTCCTCATGAAAGAGGCGTCTTGAAAACGGCTGAAGATGTTGTCTCTCCCATTTTTTTCGTGTACGAGGCAACCAAATTTTTGGTGGCCTTGCTTAGGCAAGGCAGGAAAAAAAAAAAAAGGGAAAATTAAATGGCTGAAGAAAGTTGTCACCTTTTCCTGGTGAAGGGGCTTGAGTCTGGGTTGAAGAAAACAGACGATCTGTGAGGCAAATACATTGAGTTACAATAAAAGAGGTAGGCGTGCATTGAGGATCTGGAAAATTTTATTACATGAGTGACCTACTTACACCATATGTGTATGTGATAAATATAAGAATGTAGAACGGACTCTTGAAATAAAAAACTAAGATGCGTAATATAACATTAAATAGAAGGCTATTGTTGAATTACGATTTGAACATTAAGAAATTTTTGACAAAGTGCGGGAATTGAATTGACAGTTGCTGGTGTTTTTCTCAATGTAGAAATCCTATTGTAATTATCATGGTGAAAGATAATTTGCCCTTTAGAGACATATTTACAACGTCAGATGAGTTGATATTTCAGGCATTCTCAATATAAGATTATGAACATATTTATAAATCATATTTAGAGTAAATAACGTACAGGTTCATAATGAAAGTTGACCTAATCACATGAAATATTATAAATAACATGTAATTATGGGTATGTATATGTGCAATGAATATTAAAAATCTATAATATTCTTAAAGAAGTTTGTCCTATTTAAAAATTCGGAGCAGCCCTGGTCAGTTTGGCTCAGCGGTTACAGCGTGGGCCTGTGGTCCAGAGAGCCCCAGGTCCGGTTCCTGCTAAGGACATGTGCCTCAGTTGCAGTTTGTCCCCGGCCCTGGTTGGGTCATGCAGGAGGCAGCCACTCAATGTGTCCCTTTCACATAGAAATTTCTCTCTCTCTTCCTCTCCCTACCACTCTATCTGTACAAAAAATGGAAAAATGTCCTCGGGTGAGGATTAAATAAATAAATAAATAAAAGATTTTTAAAAGTTCTATGTTCCAACCCAGTGATTACATATATATACAGATAGAAAAAGAATGCAATGAAAAACGTGCTTTCAAGATTATGGTCTGGGCTGCAGGGAAAACATGGTGAGCACGATTTTCTCATACAGCCACTCTGAACATAGAGGACAGAACGACATCAGTAGTGGGGCCTGTGCATGGAGGAGAGGTGAGCACTCACCCAGTGAGACCAGGATCCTGCAGGTCTCCAGGATCACTTTGAATATGAGTTTCCAAAATTCACATACAGTTGTCCCCTATCCTGCAAGGTGAATGTCAGAGTCATGTACCAACACTCTAAGAGACTAACCGAGGTACCAAACTCACCCCAGTGGATGGGATCACAGCCTGTTACCCCCCAAATGAGTGAAGGTACAGAGATCCAGCCCAAATTACTGAGATCTCCTGAGGCCCATTTTCCATGCTGGTCTCAAAAGGAAACAGACAAATTGCAGCTCAGACTCAAAAAAGTTTCCTCTAAAGAAACCACTGGAGCCCTGGCCGGTTTGGCTCAGCGGTTAGAGCGTCGGCCTGCGGTCCTGAGAGACCCGGGTTCGGTTCCTGCTAAGGGCACGTACTTCGGTTGCAGTTTGTCCCCGGCCCTGGTTGGTCGTGTGGGTGGCAGCCACTCGATGTGTCCCTTCACGTCGATGTTTCTCTCTCTCTCTCCCTTCCTCTCTCTCCCTCCCACTCTATCTGTATAAAAAATGGAAAAATATCCTCGTGGGAGGATAAAAAAAAAAGAAAAAGAAAAGAAACCACTGGAGCAGACAGATGATGCTGTTTCAGTAGATACTGAGGGGCAGAGGATAAGTGATGTCTTAAGAGAATAGGGGAGAACCATCATAATTGCAGCAACAGAAACAGCAATTCCCTGGTCCCTACAGTGAGGGCTTCAAGGCACTAGTAGAGGTTGACCCTGGTTCTGGAGCCAGACTCTGGGGTTGGAATCCAGCTTCTCAAATCTGACGCTTGTCTGTTGAGTAAACTTGGAGAACCTAGTCCACTTTTCTAAAACTGGATTTTTTTTAGCAACTTGATATTAGTTTCCACTTCCCAGGTTGTTTTGAGAATTAAAAGTGAAAATGCTCAAAAAGCGAACCCTGGAATCCTGGCACCAACAAGCACTCAGTTTGTTACTTTATCAATTTTCAGAGCCCTAGGTAAGCACCATCATCACTTTCATGTCACATTCAGCCAACTGAGAAGCAAGGAGCTCTGGGAAGTGGGCTGCTGGACATTCCTGGGTGGAGACCTGACAGTGAGACCTCAGTGCCCACAGTACCTGCCTCCCTGCAGGTTGGACAGGGTGTTATTTTTTATTTTTATTTTTTTATCGATTTTAGAGAGAGAGGAAGGGAGAGGGAGAGCAAGATAGAACATAGATTGGCTGCCTCCTGCATGCCCCCCGACTGGGGATCAAGCCCACAACCTGGGCATGTGCCCTGACCGAGAATCGAACCGGCAACCTCTTGGTACATGGGTTGACGCTCAACCAGTGAGCCACACCGGCCAGGTGGTCAGTGTGTTCTGAAAGGCCCCATTTCTTTCTCAAAAGCTCTTAAAACAAAGATACTTGTTGGCATTGGAAAACTGAGGGGCTCCTGTCCTGGAAATGTCTCTTCAGTCAAAGGCCAGAGTTGCCTGAGCCCAGGCAGGCTGCAGGCACACCTGCCACACAGTGAATGGGCACCTTAGCTCTTGATCTCCAATAGCTCAGGGATAAAGACATACCGCATACCCATTTTACAGAAAAGAAAACAGGCTCAGGCCAGACAAAGTGGCCTTTTCCCTGTGAGTCTATAATATTCAGGAATGTGGGATTCAAATCCAGGGTGACTGACAGAGCATGGGGAGTCTGATTACGTCCTTACTATTCCCCACTGCACTGGGCTTTGGGACTTTAAACCCTTGCCCACCAGCTTGCCATCTGATCCTCCTGAAAGTTCTGTTCTTACAAAAGTACCCTCCATGATGGCATACCAGAAAAATAGAACACTATACAAAGCAACGATCGCCCTGGCCGGTTTGGCTCAGCGGTTAGAGCATCGGCCTGCGGTCCTGAGAGACCCGGGTTCGGTTCCCGCTAAGGGCGCGTGCCTCGGTTGCAGTTTGTCCCCGGCCCTGGTCGGTTGTGCGGGTGGCAGCCACTCGATGTGTCCCTTTCACGTCGATGTTTCTCTCTCTCTCTCTGTTCCTCTCTCTCTCTCTCCCACTCTACCTGAACAAAAAAATGGAAAAATGTCCTTGGGTGAGGATAAAAAAAAAATAAAAAAAATAAAAAACAAAGCAACGATTTATTGTATTTTCAAATGTCTAGACTTCTGAAAGTAACATAAATAGTAAATAGTGCACTTTAAAAGTAAACGTATCCATTACTTTATACATAGCATAAACCAAGTGAAAAATATTAGAACGTGGTATTTCAATACAAAAAAAACACGTTTATTTCATAAAGCAACAAAAGGCACAAAACGAGTTAAATTCCAACATGCATTTTTGTTTCACTGTCCTGTTATTAAAGAAAATTTCTAAAACTCATAGTCAATTAAGCAGAACATGTGATCAGACATTTCACCAAAGATACAGAGATAGCAAATATACATCTGAGAAAAGGATCAGCATAAATTCTTAGGAAAATATGATCAAACAACAGTTAGTGTGACAAAATTATATTAAAAATTTAGATTTATTTTTTTAAAAAATGTTGTTCTTTAGCCCTGGCTAGTTTGGCTCAGCAGTTAGAGCATCAGCCTGAGGTCCAGAGAGACCTGGGTTCGGTTCCCGCTAAGGGCGCGTACCTCAGTTGCAGTTTGTCCCCAGCCCTGGTTCGTTGTGCAGGAGGCAGCCACTTGATGTGTCCCTTTCACGTCGATGTTTCTCTCTCTCTCTCTCTCTCTCTTCCTCTCTTTCCCTCCCACTCTATCTGAACAAAAAATGGAAAAATGTCCTCGGATGCGGATAAAAAAAATATATATATATATGTATATATTGTTCTTTATTAATTTTAGAGAGAGAGAAAGGGAGAGGGAGAGAGAGAAAACATAGAAACATCGATGAGAGAGATCATTGATCAGCTGCCTCCTGCATGCCCCTCACTGAGGATTGGGCCCACAACCTGGGCATGAGCCCTGACCGGGAATCGATGTTCTCTCTCATCAATGTTTCTCTCTCTCTCTCATTCTTTTTTCCTCTCTCTCTAAAGTCAATAGAGAAAAATATTTAAAAGGAAAGAAAAAACAATTGACCAAACCAAATATTCTCTAGTAGGTGGAGATATTGAATCCCTCATACATTGAGGAAGAATGAAAAAAGCTACCATAGCTTAAATCACAATTTGTTATAAGTTAAACATTCACCTGCCCTCTGACTCAAATGCTGCATTGTGACTTATTAACAAAGGAAAATGAAACATGTACCTATATAAATTATTATACACAATGTTTGTACCAACTTTATTTAAAATAGTGAAAAATTACAAATAACCAAATATCCATAAACAAAGTAACATAAACTAATATTTTTTTGGTTTTATTTATCCTCACCCGAGGACATTTTTTCCATTTTTTGTTCAGATAGAGTGGGAGGGAGAGA